TAATATCAAAAAGCTTAATATTATATTTGTGATTTCGAATATAAAATTTGCAAGTTAAAAGATCATAAAAATGATTTTAAAAATTTTTTTCCTTCATTATCCAATACTTAATATGAATTTTTGCTACCGACAAGCTTAAGTCTATGCCTATATTTAATTTTATCTTTAATTACATTAGAAAATTTAATACCATAAGAGATATCTTCAGATTGAGCCTCACACATTGCATTTATTGTTTTACAAATAAAATATCTTATATATAAATTATTTTACCAAATTTATTTTCTTAACTTTTTTGTTTTCAATGTATATATGTCAGTTACAAGTGACGAACAGCAATAACATTTATATATAGATATAACAAAAATTATTAATTAATTGGAATACATTAATATAAAATTATTTACAAAATAAATTGATGTAACAAAAACGAAAAAATACTTTTAGTTCAAAGATTGTATAAAACGAATTTAAGTTTAGTTTTTTTTTTAAAAATTGAATTTAAATCAACAACTTTCATCAGTCTACCTGACAGATTATTCACTGGATGCAAACCCTCTAAAAAATCAATACCTACCTCCTAAAAAATTTCCCATTATTTATCATACCCTTTTAATTATAATAGTAGTCCCGTCATAAATTTTAAAAAGAATATATTAATGCTCTGACAACTATCAAAATATTGTGAACATATACGAGTTATTTTTAGAACATGAATTCAATTAAAAAATTTACATATACAATGAATGCATTATTATAGTATATTGTTTATTATAGTATATTGTTTATTATAGTATATTGTTTATTATAGTATATTGTTTATTATAGTATATTGTTTATTATAGTATATTGTTTATCATAAATATGAGTTTACTGATAGAATTTCTAACCCTTAAATTACTTCAAAAAAGCAGAAACTGATCCAGAAATTGTTTTATTTAGAAAATAATTTCTATGATTGTGGGCAATATATAGATTTGGTCGATGTTTAGCAATATCATAAGGCCTATAATAAAAGTATTAATTTTTACAGAATATATTTTGCCCTATTTTATCTTGAAATTTAATATATAACCTCCCCTTCACCAATAAATTTATCTTATTCACTACCCTTTTAACATGTTTACCCCATACCCCCCTCAAATAAAATTGGATGCGAACTATTCCTACCCCCATCGCTCATGTAGGCGCTGTTTCTCACAATTAATCTTCTTTTATTCTCTAAAGCATAGTTTGAAATTGAAAAACTATTTTTTAAATGTAATGTTAAACTCCAACTCTTTCAACGACCCATCTCCTTTGTCAAAAATATCATCAACATCAATATAGCTTCTATGTCCATTATTTAAAACTTTCATCTCAAAATCAATAGCTCTTCTTTTTTCATTATCTAAAAAATATTAAATAAATGAGTAAAGGATGTTTTAATTAAATATACTTTATTCTCTCTTTCACTGGCCCCTCTTATTTTGTCTAAAATAGCTTCAATATTGTTTCAATTTCCATTATTTAATTTATCTCAAAATATATCTTCTTTCTTCATTATCTAATAAATATAATATAAATGAGTTAACGATGTTTTAATTAAATATACTTTAGCTCCAAATCTTTCATTTCTCCTTTTCTTTTGTCTACTATATTATCAATATTACTTTTCATTATTTAAGGCATTCATCTCAAAGTTAATCTTTTTTCATTATCTAATATAAAATAAATGAGTAAAAGATGTTTTCAATAAATATACTAGAGTTTTAATAAATTCGTATGATGGATTGGAAGAAATTTTCTTAAAATTAGGAAGAGGTCAAGTAAATTAAATTTAAAAATGAGTATTATAATTAGTGATTTTGAACTTGGCTAATACAAATCACAATATTAAATTAGATTTATTTCATTTTCGATTTCTAAAATAATCGAAATAATAAAAATCAATTAAGCTTCAACTGTTAATATTTAATTGATATTTAGACATTATTAGGTATATAAATACTTTGTATTTGTAATATTTTAATATCAAATTCCATAATAATTCTATATGAAAATAGAATATATATAACTCTAAAATAATAATAAACATAATATAAACTTATTATACCTATGAATGATAATTTTTAACATAGAATTTGATTGCAATTGGTAATATAGTGAAAATATAATTTATTGTATTAATCTATAATTATAGCACTCATATAATAAAATTTATATAGTTTATATATTTATAAAATAATATCAATGTAAAACATAATAGAATTTTACAAATAAAATCGTTCAGGATGCTATCAAAATTTTTCAGGCGGCTACTAGAGAGCCATTAAAAGATTTCGTTCTGGGGGCTATTCAAATTTTTGAAGGTACTCGAGTCCCTGCTTGCATCCCCCTAGTGATGCTATTGTTAGATTATATGTATTTAGTCTTAGTTTATGAAAAATGATGAGATATTTAAATAAGGACCGCCAAAACTGAAGTTCTATTTGTGGATGAATAAACCCTAAATAAAATTTTTATCGAACATATTTTGATATGCATAAAATAATGCTGATTTTGTATTTTTTGCTCTAAGTTTTCAATACATTTCCCACATAATCTTTAAATTAAAGTTCTGCTATAATTATTAGTGTCATTCATTATATAATACGATCAGCTACATGACAGGATTTTCACTAGATGCAAACCCCCTTCAAAAGCCTTTGCCTAACCCCCTGAAAAATTCCCGCTACCTTCGGTGGCAAAATTTCCCCACTATTATTTTCACCTTTTTAATTATAATGATACTCTTTTAAAAAATTTATAAAGGATAACTTAAATTAATCTATCTCTACTACCAACTATCGATATTTTGTGAATATAAAGGATTTATTTTTTAGATAATAAATTCAATTAAATCCTCCATTATTTACAATGAATTCATTATTATTTTATGAGCTTGCTGAAATATCGAAACCTTTTAAATGTAATTTAAAAGGATAGCAGAAAGTTTTATTTGGAAAACAATATGTATGATTGTTTGCAATATATAGATTTGGTCGATGAATCGTATTATATAAAAGTATTAATTTTTACAGCAATAAAATTTGTCCTATTTCATCTCGAAATTCAGATAATCCCCCCAAAAATTTATCCTACCCCAATTAAAGCCGTCTACCCCATCAAAAAAATAGGATGCAAACTGTTCCTACCCCTCCCGCTCATGTAGACGCTGAATACGATTAAATATGGGAAATGATTTGATACAAACTCGCGCTTCTTTTTGGCTTACTTTCTTTTCTATAAAGATGTTTCCAATTTTATGAGCTATATATTTGAAAGATTAATTTTTTTTTGAAGATATATTTGTTTGCGATTTAATTTCTTTTTTTCGAAGAAATATGAAATTGTTTGTGATATATTTAAATTTGACAAAAAAATATATAATATATTATACTATTTTTTTTATAGTAGAAATGCTAAAATAACTGAATTTTTGCAATGAATTATGACATAAAATTAATTCTCTTTTTCACAAATGCCCTAAAAATTTAAGAAATTTTGTTTATGATAATAAAAAGTTTAATGCTAGTATGTGTAATATAAAGTATCTTTAGAAATTTATTTAATTTATTTTGATGATTGATTAATTGATGTTCCCCTAAAATTGTATGATTAAAAGATTACATTTTATAAAAAAAATCTAAGAATATTTTATATTTTAAGAATACTAAATTATTTTTATTGCCTGAATTCCAGGAAACTTATAAACTAGCTTCCAAAATAGAGAAAAAAAATCTTACTTTTATAAATAATAAAAACAAACTAGCTTACTTTCAAAAATCTAATAATAATAGTACTTTCAAAAATTACAGTACAAACTTACCTCTAAAAATTATGAGGAAAATTTACCAAAAAGTATCTAAGTAACCCAAATGAGGGGACAAAAAAAATCAAAATAATCTGACAATTTCAAAAGTTTAAATTTTTATTAAATTTTGAACACAAATTGATAAAATACTTTGGAAAAAATTACAAAAAAAAATATTATGTTTTTGAAACATAATCACAAAAGTAATAATGTTTTTAAAAAACAAGAGAAAAATTAATAATTCAATTCATTTTTGAAAAACGAAGAATGAATTTTAAAAAAATGATAAAAATTTTATCACAAAAAATTGATTGACATTTTAATAATTTAATATAAACAAAAATATATATTACGAGGACACTTCTTAATCCTTCCGAAAACTGAAAAAGGGAAGACTTGGAGACAACATCGTTTACATGGGGTGGAGGTTAGGATTAGTTTTCATCCAATTTTATTGAGAGCGCTAGAGGACAGGTGCCTTTAAGGAGGTATGATAAATTTATTGGAGGCTAAAATTTTTAGATAAAATAGGGCAAAATATTTTGCTGTAAAAATTTATTCTTTTGTGATAGTTCTATTTAATAGAATGATATTGTTAATCGTCGACCAAACTTACATATAATATACATTTATAGATATTATTTTCCAAATAATACTTTCTGCTATCCTTGTTAGAAATTCTCAGCAAAACAAACTCACAATCCTGCCAAACAATATACTACAATAATGCATTCACTGTAAATGAGGTGGTTTTAATTTTAATCATTATCTAAAAAATAATTTTTTATTCATAATTTTTTGATAGTTGGTAGTAGAGCTAAAATATTTAAGATATTCTTTTAAAATTTATCAAGGGAGTACCATTATAATTTAAAAGGTGCAATAATATTACCGCCATAGGTGGCAAAATTTTTTTGGTGGTATAGTCATTTTTTTATGAGTAAGGTTTATAATCCTATCATGTAGACGCTGGGGACAAAGCCTCACAAATTTTTTAAAAAAATTAAAATGTATTAAAATGGAATAATTTTTGAAAGGGTATTTTTCGGATAAAGTCTAATAAAATTTAAAATATACCTTATTTTTGTGTGAACGAACAGATTGATGGATGTTAAAAAGTTGTCAGCCAAACGTCTACTATTTTGGCATCTTAATTTTATGTTTGGCACAGTATTTTTTATTCGTTTAAAATTTAAAGATAAACGTGTTAAAGATGAATATTGAATATTTTTTGAATATACATGAGTTCTATTTTAGATTGGCTCTATTATTTATTTTTCTATCTCCCCTCTATTGGAATATTGTAATTTTAATATTTTTTAACCTCAGTAAAATATATTAGGTAGGGAGGGTTGAATATCAAACTCATTTTATTTCAAAACTCGTTGGAGATCCTTTAACAGCGGTTTATATATTTGGTATTTCAATATTCCTTTTATCAAGTTATAGAAATTGGATGTAAGAAATTAAAAGCTTGATATAATAATATTAATATTTGTTAAGTTTTGAAATTGCCCTAAAATCTCAGCCAAAATTTGAGCCATTTGATAATTCTATCATTCATCTCTTAGGATGGATATGCCTTATCATTGGTCTCATATTAGTTTTAGGTAGTTTTTACCGTTTAGGATTTGTGAATACATATTTAGGTAAATAAAAATAAAATATATCATTTTACATTTTTGTTTTAGGTGATTATTTTGGCTTTTTGCTTAGCAGAAAGATTGAAAGTTTCCCTTTCTCAATTGTTCAAAATCCTATGTATTGGGGATCTTCCTTAAATTTTATTGGGACATCTTTAATGTAAGATATATTAATATTATTTTTATAATTTACACAATTTTTTAAATTTATTGAGGAAAATTAATATGTATATTATAAATTTAATGTATTATGGCACTTAATATGGGATATTGATTCATTTTTTTTCTAAAATTAAGCTATTTGTTTATTATTCTTTCTGAGACTTAGCTAGGAATTTGCTTTTAGGAGAGATATGCTAAAAAAAATTGTTGAACTTAAAATGATAAGCTTTAAATTTATTCTCATCAAATTTTGAAAAATAACAACTAAAAAAGAAAAAGATAAATTAACATATATAAAGCATGGATTAATTATTAATTAAAAAATAAATATTTTTTATGAAATTTTAATTTATTTATCCAAACTTCCAAATATTTATATCTTATATGCAATATTATTACAAATAGTAACAAAATTGTCTCATCCTAATAATAAAATAGCATAACTTGCTTCATCTTAAAATTATCTTTTATAATATGAAATTTAATTAAGATTACACGATAAAATATAAATGTTATTAAATAATAATATGAATCGATTTATAATCGATAAAAATATAACCATCCAAATATAGATTGAGCTCCTCTATGAAAAAATAAAATAAATTTTGAAGGAAGTTATATTCCCCCAGCCCATATCTGGTAGAAATAAGGGATGGAAGGGACTTTACCAATAATGAAATGACAAAAACAAACATCCCAAGTGCTCCTGCGTGAAAAATTGAGATCAAAAATGGCTCTCGATTTTTCTAGCAAAATAATGAGTTGATTGCATTGCAAAACACTTCCCAATGCTTCTAATTTTATAAAATATATCATTTATCATCACCTTAGATTTAATTAGAATATAATTTGGTCGTTGCATTTTCAAAACATTTTTAAATACATTAATCAGAAATCTGCAGAGGTACCATTTGCATGGTCTAGATTTTTTTTTAAAAAAAAAAAAATTTCAGCTTGGCCTGGCCACATTTAAATTTTCCAGCCATCAAGGATTTTTTTTTATAAAAATTTTTCAGCCTTATCCAGATTTTTTTTAATTTAGAGATTATTTTTTATAACTTAATTTTAGCTAATCAAACATACAATATTACTAAAATACATTTTACCAAAAATAAACACAAATGTAACCCATGGTATAAAATGATAAATAATCTTCATTTCAAAATTATAATTTAAAAACTTAATAGATATTCAATGATTTTGTATTATGAAGAACAAACCTTAAAATGGCGAATTGGTATATTATTCTTGGGCCATTAATTTTTTTAAAAATAATACAGGATGGGGCAATCCGGGCTTGGCCAGGAAATAGAATTTTTAAATTTTCCAGGCTGGGCCTAAAAACATTATCTTATTTATAAGGCTGGGCTGATCAATTGGTATCTTTGCCTGGATAAGAGTTATGGATAGCAGACAAAATGACAAACCTTTTGGGAGTATTTACCTCCAATTTTCTTTACTCCGTGAAAGTTAAAAAAAAGAAGCTATTTTGTTACCTGATAAAAAGTTTTTAATAGTAGAACAATATTCACTATCTTAAAAGTTAGTGACAATTTTATTTACTTCACTAGGGACACACCACTTGGTTTAGGGCTGAACGAAATGGTAATAAATATTTAAAAACCTTAGAGGTAGTTTGAAATAATTATTGCCTATATTCATTCATCATTTAGGAAAAAAGTTAAAAATTTAAGACAAATTTAAAAAAGTCTAAACTAAATTTTTTATTAATCATTTAATTGAGATATTATAAATATATTTATGTTTTATTGACGATTTTCACCCTAGAAGCAACCATTACATTTTAACCAGAGATACGTTTTCCCACATCTGGGTATCATTAGATACAATTTTTTACTATTAAATTCATTTTTAAAATAAATTATTTAATAATAAATAAATAGTGTTTATTATCCTGATCAATTTTAATCTTATACAATTTTTAAAAAAATTTAACTGATCAAACCAATAAATAATTATGATAAATTTTAATTATTTCTTATGATCATATAAATATGTTGGAAAAAATTATGAAGGGGCACAAAAACATTATGATATATAATGAATTATTAAATATTCATATCCCAAGAGGGGAGTTGAATCTTGGGATTGGGAATAAATTGAAAGTATGCTAATTGAACTATACATAAATTTATAATACTGTGTTATGTTCTCTAATTTACTCATTTTAAATCTTTCTAAAGTTTGGGATTTCATTTTTGAAAATAAGGCTTTACCTTACAAATCAATTTGTTGTCAAAGAAAAAAAATTCTTTGAAGATCATAATCTCTTTTGAAAAAATTTGTGATATAATTATTGTTGAGCATGAAAATCGCAAAAGATTTACTTTATAGAATATTTGGAATTTTATGTAAAATTTGATCAAAAATTTGTTTGCAAAAATGTTCATTTATTCTGAAGATCATTTTAAATTCTGTTTATGTAATCAATCAATGTTAATACATGATTGGTTCATAATTTTCTCCTTGATTAACCGAATCTAAAAAAAAAATTTTTTGTATAATATATTCAGACATAGCAGTTTGGCTGGTATTGTGTTATCTGTATGGATTTGGATTGTATACCGTATAGCAATCATGTTTGAGGAGTAAGTAATGTTTTCATTCATTACAAATATTTTTTATATTAATTACCTTTTTGAGATTGTTGTTTATATTTTAATTCTTATTTGGTATAAATATTTTATTTATATCATATAATAAATTCTATATCTGCTTTATTTCTTATATTTATTTTTTATAAGGCCCTTCACGGAATACATTTATTCTCAAAGCAACATTAATAAATCCGCTTCCAATGGAGATTTAACTTCCAAATCCAAAATTGTTAAAAGAGCACAAAAAATCGAATAAAATTGCTCATATGCTAGTAGCCAATTTTTTGAATATTTTTTAAATTATACATTTCAATTTTTTTTTAAATCAACTGCTGCAATCACTTGATAATGTTACCTGCATAAAGTTATTTAATTTTCCTTACCATTAAATATATTTTTTATTTTATTATATCAAAAGTCGATTATTATTAGGGATTCATTATCATCCGGTGACATTTTATATTTTCTTTTTTTCCGCCAATTACACAATCATTTAAATCTATATTTACCTGCGGATAAAGATGCGGAGCATTTACATTATATCAAATATCTCAAATAACCATTTTTAAATTTAGGAGATGATAAGTTTACAAATTAAATAATAAGGCGATACAATGATCTTTTTTTTAAAAAAAACTTGCAATAAAATTTCGATTTTTATAATATAATGTTTGTGCATTCATTTATCTGATATGGTAGTCGTACTGTACTGTGCAATGTAATCTAGTTCTTAGCTTATCATTAGGTCGAAATGTAAAATTATTGCAAATTGTTAAATTTTTGTGGGGTTTTTTTAAACAAAATTATGCTACTACAATTCTCTACGAGTGTATTAATAAGGCCATCGTTATGTAATAATCATGTTTTTGGGGGTTAGGCATAATAAAACGTGTCTTAAAGAATAGCTAATTTATAAAATAGTTATTTTTTAAATTAATTATGCAATATAAAATTTATATTTTGTAATTTTTTATTGTGTGCAAAATAAAATATCAGAATAAATTGAATTATTCATTAATATATTTGTTCAATTTGTTCGAAAACAAATAGTAAAATTATTCGATTCGATTTTCGGTGGCCTACTTGGAATTAATCATTAATTTGCGAAATTACCAAAACGCATCAGTTCCATAGAAAAAATGACAGATACTTAAACCTTTCAAGTTCTTTGATCTCACCTAAGATCAACACGGTACGATTTATTTAGACCGTTAACTACCTCCCAGTTGAACCGCTTGGGAAACTGCTATTAATCGTTGATATGTGTATATAATTTTGAAATAAACATGCAATCAACCATAAATCATATTGTAACTAATAACTATAAGTAAAGAATATTTTGTTAACTACCAATTTATAAAATTATATATCATAATCATTATAGATATATAATATAATGACATTAACATGAGATGTAAAATCATTTATTAATCATTTGGAACTCAATCAAAGTCAGTTTACAAAATAATTTGTTAAAAAGTTTTTGAATTTCACTCAATCTTGGAATATCATTAATTGATACCTGAAACTAGCCTAAAATCGGCAGATCTTGTTAAAGAAAGGATTCTTTCTTTCTTTCTTTTTCTTTCTTTTTTTCTTTCTTTTTCTTTCTTTTTTTCTTTCTTTCTTTCTTTCTTTCTTTCTTTCTTTCTTTCTTTCTTTCTTTCTTTCTTTCTTTCTTTCTTTCTTTCTTTCTTTCTTTCTTTCTTTCTTTCTTTCTTTCTTTCTTTCTTTCTTTCTTTCTTTCTTTCTTTCTTTCTTTCTTTCTTTCTTTCTTTCTTTCTTTCTTTATATAATCAATTTTTTCTATAAATCGACCATTTTATATCTCGACCTCTAGGGTAAATAAGGCATTATAAGTCATATTCGATGAAACTAACCTTCGTGACATTCCTTAATTCCATTCCATAGGATACATTTGTCATAACTAAACTCTTGGATAATTAATATTTTTTGGATTATTTTAATTATCATTTTTTTTTTAAATAAATTTTGTTTTACCAGTTTGATTATATTATATACTTTTTTTTTAAATTTGCGATTGTGATGTAGTTTAAAGAAAAATTAACCATGTAAGATCAGGTTGTTAAACAAAAAATTATTTTTATAATTGGACTAATTGAGTTTTATTAATCAAGTTAGTGTTAAGATACGTCTCTGTATTTAATAGTTTCTTTGATGTGCCACAGATTTTGTTTTTTATAAATTATATTTTCTTGGCTATTATAATAATTTTTTTTTATCAACATATGTTTTTGAAATTTAAGTAAATCATATTATTTCTTTATAATATAACGTCAGGCGCGTGGCCAAGAATTTGCTTTATGGTAGGGGGGGGGGGGATTAAAATTCATCTTGATATTGAACAATAACAAAGTAGCGCACTTTTTACGTTACTTTAGAATTTTTACATATCTATTTCCACAAATAAAAAATACGACTAATTTTAAATATATAATATATATTTTTTTATTACATTTCTTTACTGCCATCCCGAATTTAGAGCGACTATCAGAAGGTAAGCTTTTCTATATTAAATAATCGTTCAGCATTAGCACTTGAGGGCAATAAAGTATTTAATTTAATATACATATTTATTGGTGATAGTAAAATAACCCCCGGAAAATAAATCCCCGGACTTTTTTTTCATATTTATAGAATTTGTCACAAGAAGCAATTCTCAATTCCAAACACGTCGAATTGAGCCTCGATTTTCCCCAGAAACTTGGAACGTGAATCAGAGCACTCTATCAGACGAAGAACGCACAAATAATCAATGTGAAGGTTGGAATCATCGTTTTTCTAATCTGGTTGGGAATAAACACCCATCAATCTGTATTGCTTAAAAAAATGGAATGAGATGTGGCTACCGATGAAACTAAACTTGAACGATGGCATGTAGATAGTTGGACACCGAAAAAAAATCGCAGAGTTATAATACCCAGATTAGGTTAAAGAAACTTTGCAGGAATATCGTGATGGGATGCGAAGCCTCCCAGATTTTATAAGAGCTATTTCCTTTAATATTCGATGTTAATCAATATAATTATTATTTTAAATTATTAAATCTCTACTTAATTTCGTAATTAAGGATGGATATTGTATTTATTACTATAACAAATAATCTTTACGAAAATAAGAAATATATGGGTTATTTTACTGGGGTATTTTTTCCCAGTACCAATTTGAACTTCAGCATTTTATCTTGTTTAAGCATTTTTATGGAAGGGTATATGAGTAATCTTTAAATAATGAATTAGGGCCTAAAGAAATTTGGCTTATTAATATATTATATTTTTATAATATTTTTTTCTAAAATATTAATTTATCTATACATTATTAATATGAGTATATCCATTATAATCCAAATAAAAATATACCTATATTATTATGTAGTGTTGTGGCTCGTTTTGAGCCTATTTTTAAAAACGGCTAACTCATTATTTCATAGAAATATTTTACCCATGTCTGAAGAATTTGCTCATAGGAGGAACAAAGGTTTAAACATATATTATCAATATCTCGAGGCATAAGCAATATTTTTCTGGCTAAAATATTAAGTTAGCCGTTTAACAACAATATTATTAGTAAATTCTATTAATATGAAAAAAAACCCAGGGGTATATTTTCTGGGAGTTTTTATTCCGCGGTTATATTTTCCTGGGGGTTTTTTCCTGGATTCATATTTTTTATTTAAGAAAAATCATCAAGAATATTCATTTGAGTATTTTTAGATTTAAAAAATGCGTCTAGAGGATTTTTAATAGTATTTTTATTTATTTTAAAAAAAATCATCTAGTAGGTGGCCTAGTTTGGTATAGTATTATTTAACATTTCCATTAGATATTACGTTGCTCTTTGGATTCAGTCATATTTATATATGGTCAATTCAACCTAAAATTAGGGGGAAATAGGAGCTATGTTTAACATCCACTGATCTTTTGAAAAACATTTCAACAATGGAAACAACTATTAATGTAAAATTATTTTGTATTCACAATTATTAAAAATATGTTGAGAAAAAAATATCTTTAAAATTTTTAAAAACTTGTTGAAGCTATCATTTTTAAAAACTTGTTATAATTATTTTTTGCAACATAAATTATAACATATAATCAATTTTTTAAAAATTTGTAATAGTTTTCATTAAATGGCAAATTTTAGTATAGCTAGAATCTTGAAATATATCTAAAGTTTCAGGTTTATAATTTTTATATCGATATAATTTACTAATTGTATATATATAATTTTAGATTTCCTGATGAACCTATTTTCTAGGGAATTTATTTAACGACAAATATCTCAACAATATTCATCTATATCATCAAATTCTAGATGTTTGTCTGACATAACTAACAGCTATTCTAATGACCTACTAAAATTTTGATCCGATTATTCACCTGCCAAAAAAATAATAATTGGAATAAAGAAAAACCTGAGCTAGCTAAAAAAATGGCTGAGAGCCAATTGGCAATCAACCAAGTGTAAAGTCAATGGCCCACGATCTTAAATTATCTGTTGGTAGAGGTGGGCGCGGGCCATGAAATTATGCGTGACCCATCGTATCACGGTGGGTCAGTGAGTGTGAATAAATTTTAAATTATTAGGCCTGACAGATCTTCCCAAACTTGATCGGGCGTGAATATAAATTTCCCATGAATCAAGGAAATTTTAATTTTTAGAATTGTTTTTTTATAAATATAAATTTGCAATTTATAATTATAATATACATATTCTAATTTAAATGAGTTCATTTTTAAAATATAATTTTTGAAAACAAAAAAGCTTCCGCATTTTATAAACAACATCCGGTATCATGCCGCTCATTCTGCTTTTTTTTATGTTTAGGTGTTTTTTCGCGAGACTTTTTGCTAAATCTTGCTTAAACTTTAAAATTTATATATTCAAATCAAATTTCTTTTACAGGAGTATGTTGATCTTCTTTCAAGTTTATTATTATTATATATTTATTATTTTACTAAGAAAATGTAATTTTTTGCATTAAATTATAATATATTTGCAAAACATTTAAGTATTTACTTTTTATTAATTTTAATAAATGTTCTAATGTTATGTATGAGTCGTGAAGGTTTAGAATTTATAATATTAATTTATAATAGGTATTAAATTATCAATGAAACTTAAAGCCAAGATGGGAAGACATTGATATTGAATTTAAAGCTCCAGAATATAAAAAGCTAGATTTGGGATTATTTCTTAACAATTTATTAAAAAGGTACCATTTTATAAAATGTACAAGTTTAGCGTGATGTCATATGAATGTAAAACGGGTACTGCCAGTTTATTAAGACATAAATGTGCCTTAAAAAATTATTCTACTCAGACGATATTTAATATGTTTAAAAGACAAATGTCAGACAAATCAAAAGTTTTACAGAAAAGACAGTTAAATTTTATTTGTAAAGATCTTCGACTTTTAAATGCAACAAAAAGTGAAGGATTTTACAAGCTAGCCCAAGAGTTAATAATGTTGGTGTTACATATGGACAACAAAATATACTTGTGAAACGAAAAACTCTCATGATTTAACTCCAAAAATATACGATGAAATTAAATTAAAGATAAAAAGCATGATCATTAATAATAACTTGTTCATGACCACCGATTATTGGATGGATGACTATAAAAATCGAAGTTTAACAATTACAGAACATATTATCAATAAGGATTTTGATTTAAAAACATTTGTTTTGGCCACAAGGGAAATGGATGGAAAAAAAACAGCGTATATATAAAAAGTGTAGTCAATTCAATTTTAGAAGTATACCCAGAAGTAGGAAATTATTTAAATAAATATATAGTTGTAACTGATAACTGGGCAAATCTTATAAGTGCATTCAAAGATGACGAGAGGCTAGCATGTATATCTCATATATTAAATAATATATGAATTATATTTTTGACAATAGTTTGCCTGAAATAGCCTTAAATATAAATGGTGTAAAAAAAATAGCACAATATTTTAAACAATCTACCTCTAATAGCAATCTAAGTCATATCCTTAAACAAGATATAATAACGAGATGGAACTCTGTATATATATCATGATACAGAGCTTATTAAAATCACATTCTTAAATACAGGTGTACTTGATTAGCAAGCTAAAATTAAATAGATTAGCCACTTGATATCAACATCATACGCAAGTTAGATAATTTTTATCAAAATTTTTAAAGAATGCTCAGATAATCTGAGCACAAAGTTTGGTCACACAATAATATCTATGGAAAAAATTAGTAAAATTTAGTCAACCTTCTGAATGTGATACAATAATAAAACCTTAAAAAACAGGACAAGATTTCTTTTAAAAGAAAAATTTATGCAACCACTACATATGGTAGGCATAATTCTAAATTCGAATTTCAAACGCCTTAAGTTTTTAATAGAAGAAGAAAAGGAAGATATATATAAAACAACCTTAAAAATGCTAAATGATATAATTAGATGATAATCATGAGCCAATGCCAACTATCATTTATAACTCTTCTAATTTATCCTACACTCCCAAAAAACCGTATATTCTAAATGAAACATTTAGAGAATTTATAGATGATTCTGATGAAGCATCAATATTTACCTATGAAAGCTGTGAGGATTAACTTAAAAGACTCATCGTTCATAAGACAAATAACAATGACAATATTTTGAAGTTATGGAAGCAGGAAAATTCATTTCTTTTTTTGAGAAAATTAGTGAATAAAATTTTGTCAGCCCCGACAAATTCGTCTTCAAGTAAAAGGTTATTTTCTGTAGCCAATCGCTTATTAAAATAAAGACTTATACAATTGAAATAAAAAATAGGACATCTTCTTTTTATAAATAAAAATTTCTATTTATAAATTGTATTTATTCTTTATTATTAATATGGATCATGGAATTAGAGAAATAAATAGAATAAATTCAAAAAAGTTTAAAATTATACCAATAGAGTTTTGAAAAATTTAAAAACACCGTGAATTTTTGGGAGTGAATTATTGCCTTTTATGAGCGGGTGGGTCGGAAAATTTTTTAGTGGTAAGCGTGAATTTTTTATTGCCACCGAGAGCGGGCAGGCCGTGACTAAAAAATTAGGCCCGAGCTCACCTCTATCTTTTGACTCTATTTATCGTTTTAAAAGGGGAAACATTTTTTGAATATTATGACCAACCGTTGACAGATTACATTATAAAACACACTAAACTGAAATCAAATATAATAGGTTTGCTGGAATATAATAATGGTTACACTATAAAAAAAACCATACATTAAATGCCGTCACACCTGAGAATGGGTCAGGAAACAATATCTAAGTGTATAAAATCATTATGGAGGAGTAGGAAAAGGGTTGCAAAATACATAATAGAAGAAACGCCCCTCCCTCTGACGTTATTCAGATTCGCAAGGAATATTGTAATAAATGAAAAATATGTTCTTTGAAAATATATATTTCCTTGACTGGGTTTAGTACTCATATTATATCACACTATGTATGGACAACTTCTAAGTTACCTCCCTCCAAGGGAAAAATATATCTGTATTCTGTACTATAAGAATAGGCGGGCTAAAAAAAATACACAATTATCGACGGGGCTTTCAAGGCGATGAAATTAAAAACATACCTCGATGAATTATCGTTAATATTACTATCAAATTGAATAATAATAATGGATAACCCGAATTCATCTAGCGAAGTTTGTTAGTAAAAGCTATCAAAATATTTTATTTTTACCTCCATTTTCTCCATAACTATTCCGATAGAAAATTTTTCAGAATTCTTAAAAATAAATATAACTTTTTTGCATATGATTTCGCCAATTTTTATTCGCATACGAAAACCCTTATTTCTTTTCAAATCTTTAGTAGCTTTATCAAATTTATATATATCCATAATTTCGCCAATTTTTATTCAGTAGTATTTAAAATATAAGATATTTATAACCCTTTGATGTGTCAAATTTAGCGATACTGAAATTTGACATTTAATATAAATTTAAAAAAATATCAGAATTTTAAGGTAAGTTTGAAAAAATTTAAAATTTTATTTTAAGGTGAAAATAATATTTTAACTATTTCTTTATTAAATAATATTTTTTTTCTCAACATATTTTTACAAGAATTGTCGAATAAAAATAATTTTATACTAAATGCTTTTGTCCATTTTTGAATTTTTTTTACAAAATATCACGTATGCACTGTAATTGTAAAATATATCATTAAATAGTAAACTTAATTTTTAATTTATAATATCTTATGGCTAGTTAAATACCATGTTTGGACTGGGCTAAAAAATCAACTTTCACATAGCCCGGCCTGAGTCCAGCCCGGCCCTAAACTCGTCTAGCTCAAAAACTATTAGGAATGAAGCTTTGATTTAAATTTTATTTTTAAATTTCGGATTGGGCGAAAGATTAATATTACATTTGTTTGATATGTAACCTATAAATTTCTCAAGTTGAAGTTGCTAGTCTTGTTTGATGATAAAACCTCCTGGCACATCTTATAACGAAATTTATACCTTGTGTTTATTTTTTATCAAAATTAAAATATTTTGCGAATTTAGGAAAAGATAATTCTATATTATCATCATTTCCCAGAGAAATTACTTTGTAAATATGATCTGTACCAAAATTATCTTCAATATAAATCTATTGTCGATATTTCAATTATTTTGAAAACTAGATTTATAATGCATATTTTAAATTTCAAAATTAAATCAAATAAAAAGATTATTATTTTGGATTAATTATGAATATATTTCAATAATTTTTATGTATATTTATTATAAAAAATTGAAAGTAGCTCTTTCACTTCGCTACTTTCTAAATTAGTAGCTCACTAAAACTACCACTACTAAAATAAATAGCGCGCTACCTTAACAACACTTACAATTAAATAATCTTTTAATTTAGCAAATAAATTCTAAATATATATAAGCGCAAAAATGCTGTTATAAATTATTAAATAAATATAAGCGGCAAATGTTCCTGCCAATTTAATAATTTTCGAGGATTACATAATATTTTTAAATCTTAATTTAAAATCGGCTAAATCGAGCCGTTTAACAACATAAGTCAAAACAAGAAGGTAATAACATGAATTTTAATAATGTATGATATGAGCTATCTATCTTTATTATATGTTTATATATTATATAAAAAGTATACATCATTTAAAAATATTTATTGATATTATGGCATATTTAAAATGTTTTTTTTTAAAATCAAACTATTAAAAAAATGGTGATAATATCGTATTTATATTTTAAATGTTATAAAAAATAAAAATATTTTGTTGCAAAAATTTATGAATCATTTTCTTCCACGTATTTTATTCCTATTTTAATCCCATTTTTAGGAAAGTTGATACCATTTTTTTTAAATTTCGTGTTGTCAGGAGTTAAATCGGAATTAATGTCTCCAGGGGCTAAGACGAATTTTATGTTGGACCCTAGAATTAAAGTTAAACCAATTTTGATCTCCAGCATTGCAAAACGTAAACCTATACAATTTCTAGGACCAAAACCGAAGGGCATATAACTATATTGTTGTTCCATAGTTCTATTAAAAATTATGAATGTTATATATAATTATATTTTAATATATTATTTTAGTTTTCAAAATAATTGTCAATACAGTTAATAATCCATAAAAACAGCCCTTTAAACTCCTAAGCCAACAATTTTACCCCTTGGTAACTAAAATATGAAATATTTCATTTATAAAAATGGATACAAACTATTGACCCTCTGAGGTGTTCATGCCTCCCTCTCCCTCCCTTGTTATAAAAAAATATACTTAATCTTGCTAATAAATTGAACGACACGCAAAAATTTAGTATGATTTTCTATCTAGAGAAATAAAAGATTTTAAAAAAAAATAAGCTTCACTTTTCTTATTTTTACAATAATTAGAAAAATCATTTAAAAATTCACATAAAATTAACTATTCAAGGAAAAAATTAATTTTTATACATGGTTGAGGATAGGAATTACATCAAAATTCTCTTAAAGACTTTGGTCAATTAGCTAAAAATATTGTGATATAAAAATATATGTAAATGATATAGACTGTGTATATTTTTTGTTCGTATATTGGGTAACTCACTGAAACTTGGGAAAATTTTTAATATTTTTTTAAATGTTTTATTATTTAAATATTTTAGAAGAATTTTCTTTATAAAAAAGAATAAATATGCTATCGTCTGGATATTGGAAACTTTTTGATGTATAATAATTCAAAGTTTCATTACTCAAAAATTTTAAGAATCGCATACTTTTTTCGTTCAATTAGCGTAAATTTGGATTATTTTTTTTATTAAAAAATAATAAATATACCATTGTCTGTATTGGATAAAAAATTTTAGCAATAAGAATTCAAAGTTTCATTACTCAAAAGTTTTAAGAATTTCATAATTTTTATATATTTTTTTAAATTTAACAAATATATTTCCCCTCTTTTTATGGATTACATAATCACACGTGTTATAATAGCATGAAAATGGAGAAAAATGCAACATCTTACAGAGTAAGATGCTCAACATGTTCAAGCAGCTATTCTATTTGGAAGGATTTAATATTATATTATTTAGATTTTATTTTATTAATTAAGCACTATATTTGAAAATAAACAAAATTATTCATCAATATCTTTTTGTGTCCAGGACATCTATAAGTGACAGTCTTCGTTTAATAGGATTAGCAAAAAGTACTATTGAAATCAATAAGTTTTATTAGGTATATGTAATATTTAGAAAAATTTGCTGCCATACACAGGCCATCTCTTTTGAAAAAATAGGGGACACTAAGCATGTTATCGAAATGGATGAGTGGCATATAAGGAAAAATAACACAGGGAGGATTTTAAAATAGAATGCCATTTGGGTTGTAGGTGAGATATCGAGAAATGATGAAATATTTTTTATAGCTGAAATTGAAAATAGAGATAAAGGCCCTTCTGGGTATAATCAGTAAGTACTTCCATACTGATTTACTATAATGATGAACAAATGGAAGGGATAAATTAAATATTGATAAATCTTATAATTAAATATTTTTCCAAGTGACAATCTTAATAAAATGGATATGATCATTACTCAGTCAATCATAGCAGAAACTTTATATAAGACAAGTGATATATATTTAGTGTATTGAATCGACAATATCAATTACAATAATCCCAGGCCCTTCCCACATGTAATATAATATTTGTTGTATTCGATTATATTAAATCAACATTGTCAATTACATTAATTCCAGTCCCTTCCAACATGTTATATAATGTACTATGAAAAGTTATTATCATTTACATTAATCCCATTCATTCCCTATCCACATCTCTCTACAATAGAATGTAATATTTAATGACAATTTTCTCAACCCTGTGACACACGTTACGTTATGTTAATTTTTATTAAATAATTTTTGTTTAAATTTTATTCAATGCATATAGTAATATTATACTACATTACATTTTAATGGTCTTTTAGTTATAATATATATATATTAATCTCTGTAACATTGCTGGCGGCTAAACGTTAATATAATGAAAAATTGATATATTTAATTTTTTTTTGTTGGCTTAGATATATTGAATTTTTTCTTTATACTATTTACAAAAATTACTTTTAGTTTCATATTATTATTATGTAATTTCATCCAATAAATTAGTGACAAAAATTACTTTTAGTTTCGTATTATTATTATTATATACTTTCATCCAATAAATTAGTGAGCTAACTCTTACAATATGGATCATCATTATATTTGAAAACGGGAACTATATAACTTTACCTCCATTTTTGAGGAATCTTTTCATTTTCCAGTATTCTGTTCTAAAATTTTATGGAAAATCTTATTCCTTCATTTCATAATGTTTAGACTTTCTATTGGAAGATCATCAGAGAGTTTGATTTACCCCCCCCCCCCGTCAAATCAAGGATGAGTGTAGGAGTATATAATTATGATGAGAGATCAGTCCACATTTTTTCACTAATCTATGGAAAATCAATTGTTTCAGTATTTACATCTATAGTGAAGGCATCTGTCATTGATTTTAATATCCTCTAATTGATTTGAGTTGCAATGCCTGGGATGACTTTACAGTTTATTACATCTTTCTTTAACCCTTTTAAGAGAGATCAGAATGTAATCTATTTGAATTTTTCGTGTACCGCTCTCATGATAAATGTTTGTTGCTTTTCTTAATGAAGGTGTTAGTTAAGGCACGGTCAGGTTTGGGCAAATCTCAATACAAGTTTCCCTTTATTTACATCCCCATATCCAAACCAAGATAAGCCTTCCCTGGCCAATACAAAATTTTTAATAGCCAGTCTATGAGAACTACTAATGTCAAAGTTAGATCATGTGAGGATAATACCTACACATTTTTATTGTTCACTAATTCATTTTAATCGAATTTAAAACCGTCTCCAATTATTTATATCGATTGGCTTTTTCCACTCGTCTCTTGTATACATGATATATTACTTTTTATCTTTCCCAACATAGAAGCCAATTGGTCCTACTTTTAGGAGTATTAATATTAAACTTGTGAATTGGGTCTTTTTAGTTGACTTTTAGTTTTATTTTTCACAGAATAGAGATCTACATCATGCGCGTGACTTGGCGAGAATGCCCTTATTATAATTTTTTTTATTTTAGATTTATTGAACATGTATCCTAGTACCCAGCTGCTCTAACCTGACGGTGATCGGAGTAGTATTTCTAAGCTATATTTTTTAAATTTCTATTTGATCATCAGTCAACAAAAAAAATCTTGAAAATTAAACAGTCGCTACGAGATTTGAAACAGGTCATTCACTATGCATGGTGTACATTTGTCTTACTCAGACACCTTAATAACCAATTTTATTTTATACATGAGTGTGATTAGCTAAATGATATAGATTTATATTTTTTGGTGTATTATTAAATAAAGTTTTTTTTAAAATAAAATCATATCTTTGTTGATTGATTGATTTTTTATTTAACTTAAATTGTTATTATAGCCTAAAAATATATATTTCGTTTAAATTGTTTTTTTATAATACATATATATATATACCTTATTTTATTTTTATTTTTAGTATCATTTTAGTTTTAGAATAAAATTATTATAACTTATAACCGTTTTTCTTACCATTGTTATTGTTATATAACAATCTTAGTGTTTTTTTAAATAATAAAAAAATTAAACTAAGCACAAATTTAAATAATTCTTAAATAATAAAACGACAGCCAATCAGGTTCTGTGAACCTGCAAGGCCATACGGACACAAATAAGAGATAAGGCTATTATAATTTCTTATGGATTCGCCACCTTAGACAGGTCTGGGACGCAATTTTTCTCATGAACTCTAGTTAGGTCTATAGTCAGCTACAACAATCTGTAGCAGAATATTTAGGATAAGATGTCAGTCATTATTATTCTTATTCTATTAATTTTAAAAGATTAAAAATAACAATTTTATATTTTTTTTAAACAATATTATAAGTCATAACTCACGAGTCTTTTAGACAAAATCGATCCGGATCAAATTCGTTAGGCGATGGCCAAATATTCTCATCTCGGTGCATTGCATAGACAGGCACTTCAATGACAGTACCCTTTTTGATTAATTTGTCTTCCAAATAATAGTCTTCAGAGGCCACTCTATCAAATAATGTTATTGGAGGATGTAACCGCAAAACTTCTTTAATTACTTGATCCATATACTTTAGGCTCATAATATCATCGTAATTTAAGAGATCAGGTCTAAAGCTTCTATCTATTTTTTTTGATAATTGTTTTGGCATAAAAAATTAATGGGTTACAAGGAAATTAATTATTAGACAAACCTAATTCTAAAATTTCTCAATCTATTTAGTTTACTAAACAATTAAAAAGCTCCGAAATAAACATTTCATTGTCCACTCAACAAACTTCTACGTATTATAAAGATGATAAAATAAATTTTAAAATAATTTTTAATTATAATTAAATTCAAATCTGTTTTACAAATATTATATATACTCCATAATAAATAAAATTACATTTTTGGCTAATCTTTCGTTTTATTTCCTGCCTTAGATTCTCTTGAATTTCAGAATGACAGGCTAAAGTGCGAGCTGTCCAACTTAGAGCATTTGCAGTTGACTCATACCCAGCTATGAAAAACAGTAATGCGTTAGAGATGTACTCCTCTTTGGACATTCCAGTGGTTAATATATTTTGATTTTCAACTTTTTTGGTTTCGATGCTGTCCTCTTCATTCATGGTCATCATATCATCAGAAATATTATGAATATCTTTCTTACATCCATTTATATTAGTGGTGTAGTCATTTTCTTTAAGCGACCCATTTGAATTCGATTGATTTGATTTATAAATATCATGGGAGTTAATGAGCAATTGTAAATAATCATTTCTACATAATATATTGAAATCAAGAGTTATATCAGAAAATTATATATTACAATTTAGATATTTTTCCATTATTTGAGAAAGAAATAAGTAGATAAAATTAATTCACAACTTCAAATATATGAATTCAAATCTTTAGTCTATTTGGATCCTGTTAGAACGAAATAAATTGCAGTCAATGTTAATAGATGCAAAAAAAAATTATATCAAGTTTTAGTTTGAAAATTTTAAGAATATCCTAGGACTTCATCTTTAATAAATTACATTTTAGATGATATTTTTAATTTATTAATTTAGTTATTATAACGTTTCCTACCTTTTAATATTAAACTTTTTCCGCCTCTCGATGGTATTTTCAACGATGTCAGCAAAAAACTGCATTGGTGCATCTTCAATAAGTGATATTTTGAAGTAATTAATTAGAGGGATTATGATTGGGAAAAGTCCTATCACAGCCAATATTGGTCTCGTTATCTCAAAATCAAACACCTTTTTTGCATTTCTTTTTTTTATTATAATAGTTTATGTCAATTTTTTTTTAATTTTAACAATTATTAATATACTAGCAATCAATGATCTGCATCGGCCATAATTTTTCAAGCCCGGCTCGGCTAGAAATTTTCTTAAAAAAATTATGCCGGCCCAACCCGAACCCGAAATATTTTTTAAGTTTTACCTGCCCGGCCTGAATTTAAATAAATATAGAAATTAATTATTCAAAATAATGGATATATGTTATATGGCGTCTAGTTTCCATAAATAAAATCAAATATTTCAATTTTACATTAAAAATTCAACATAACATTGATAAATTCAGATGTATTAAAAATAATTCCAAGGCTCGACCCAACCCGGTCCGAATTTTTTTAAAAAATAATAATACCGACCTAGCCCGAACCCGATTTCTTTTTAAAAATAGGCCCGGTCAGATCGCTACTAGCAATAGCATATTACCTGCTAGGAAGACGAAAAATTAATTGATTTGGGTAGATTAGTTGTTATAATAATCAAAATTTAGTGAATCATTCATGTGTTAACCACTGAGGGTTATAAATTCATCCTACTATTAGAGGTGACACCAAATATAATTTATCTTAAAATTTCGTAGAATTGAAATCAAATGGTCATTACAGTTAAATAGTTATTCTAGAAAGGCGGTCAATATAAATGACCACAGTAAAAAGTAGTTAATGAGGCGCTCATTATAAAGAGGTTCCTATAAAGGCCGTAACTATAAATAGACGGGTAATGATTAGCGTTGAACCTTATTGATTTTTTAAATCTGTTTTATTAAAATAATAGATAGCCTCGTAATTGTCTGAATCCAGCAAGTACTAGGTATTTTTTTGAAGGCAACTAGGGAGTTCCACGCTACGGGGTGGGATTTTGGAAGCCACCCCGTGATTCCGAAAATAAAAGTTGTATTGTATTTAAATAAAATTTGTTGGTTATTTACAAAATTTCCATATAATGACGAATGCCAGATATCATTACAGTTAAACATTCACTTTTTAAGGCTTCTCAACTGATGAAAAATCTTTTTTTTATATTTTTATTCCTTTTTCCACCTTATACGTAAATTAAAATTTAAAAATTTTTTACTAGAATTATATATAATATTTTTCTTGCATAAACAAATTCAATGGCTTTCATAAGCAGAGTCGGCCCATGGCCCAACTGCCGGGTATGGGCCTTATATTATATTTTCTAACGGGCTTGGAATTTTAAAAATTTTAATGAACTTACGTCTACAAATATTTTAATTTAATTTAGCTATTTAAAAGTGTTTCTAAATTTAAAAAATATTGTAACTTTTTTTCTTTCTAATAATTATAATTTCAGTTATGCAAACACAATTTTAAATACAGTTAAATATTGTTTTATTTTCATTGAATACAATAAATTGGACAATAGGCCGGCACGGCTTACGAAACCCTCTCTGATACACACTACAGTGTTGTGCAGATTTCATTCAAAACATTTCCATATTTATTAATTTATTTGAAAATAAAATTATTTGACTTGCAAAAAATTGTTAAAATAATATATTTATATATTATAGTTAAATAATTTTATTTACAAACGAATTAAAAAATATGGAAATGTTTTGAATTAAATCTGCACAACACTGTAAAGGTATGCAATGGGCTAGTTTTCGGAGCGGGGAAAAATTTTTTTAAACATTCAGCGAGCGGATTTAAAAATATTTTTAGGCGGATGACGTTTAAATATTGTTATGGCGAAATATAGAACAATTTTATTTCATAATATTGCAATTTTATATCATTAGCTATACTAGCCATTAAAATAATTTAAACATTGGTTAGATGGGCTAAGCTAAACCTTAATTTTTAAAAAAATCATAGTTAGGCGGGGGGGGGGGAAGAGGGGAAAATTTAAACGACAAATGGGCAAGCTTTTTGGATAAACCCCGCTCATTACAGACCTTTAATACACACTACAAATCATGCATAAATTGAAATCTCGATTTTATCCTCTAATATTTACAGTAAATTATCTCACGTATTATATATATCATTCATTTTAGACTTTAATATAATAATCGAAAAGCCCAATCCATGCTGAAGGATGTTTCCCATTTTATTTAAAAAAGCATGTGTGAACTATTTGGAAATAGACTTTATAAGATTTACCTCGATTTTTTAAAAAAAAGAAGAAAAATTAATGCTGTAAAAATGGTAAGTTTCTCATTTTTATATTTACATAAAAAATATATATTTTTATATCGGATCTAACAATATGCATCCATGGTGTGCATCTATCATCTTGCACAATTCACAGATGTGTCAATTTGGTAAATAAATATTTTTTAGGCCTCCTGTCCAAATTAAACATTTAAATAAAATTCCTAAGCCCATAAAAAGTTTCAAAATATTTTCCCAAGCCCGGCCCAAACCTAAAAATTAAATTTTTTTTATTTAATGAAAATAAACAATATTTAAGTATAATTAAGCAGTCAATTTGTTTACAATACTAAAATTTGTTATTGTTAGAAAAAGAAAAGAATTGCAATATTTTTTTTAAGTTAGCAACTTGTTTTAAATTAGCTAAATTTAACTTTAGGTCCAAGACCATTAATCAAAAAGTCAGATCCGGTTCAAGTCCGCTAGAAAATATAATATAAATATGGACCGAGGAACCGGTCATGAAGTCTCTGTCAGTAACGGACGATCTAAAATATATTTTCTCAGTTTTTAAGAAAATTAACGTATTATGCTATGTTAGTGAATAAAATTAACAAGAGCGCCTCGCAGATACATATAGAAGATCTTTATAAAATTCGCCATATTGTAGATAACAATCATCTGAAATTATGAAGTTATTAACACAACCCACCAATAAATTTGAGCAAAATGGACAAAATAATGGTCAATGGAGACCAGACCATTATTTCAAAAAAAAAGAATGAGAGATTTGTTAGTGTTAAATACAAGTAACATTGTTTATTAATGTTGTATTGTAGAAGACTTAAGGCTCAGGCGCGTACGCAGCGGGGGGGGGGCAGGGGGACAAATTCCCCCCCCCCAAAGCCAAAAAATGCAGATGCCGGATTATATTTTTCAAAAATATTATTGTTAATATTAATTTATATTTGTTAATATTTATTCTTATCTCATATATACACATATATATATATATATTTTATTTATCACATTCATCTACTAAGTTATTTTATCAATCAATTTCGATTTCAAGTTTTCCTTGGCGTAATTTACCTATTATTTTCAAATTTTAGTGGCGTAATATTTATCTAAATTTCTAATAAAATAATAATTATCTCTGAAACTCCTTGTCCAACAGGGAGAAAAAAATTGCAAGCTTGTCCAACGAGATCGAGTCTCCGCCACAGTAACAGCTATTTTGGAGTTAGAAGAGCTGATTATTAATGCTATTACTGAAATATCACAATGGCTTGAAAGAAATATTTCCTCAGAAGCAAGAAAATTATTGGATTCAATACTTATTCCAAATTTTTTTTCTCATTAGAATGTATTATTTAATTATACAACTATTTTATGTAATACTTTTAAAAACATAACATTGACTTGATTAAGAAGATGAGAATAGCGGAGAGCATTTTATTAGAACTCAAGGAAATAGAGCTAGTGTTGTTGAAGAATTTCATATTTTATATGTTATTGTTGAGTCAAAAGCAGAGCTATACGTGTTAAATATTTGTCCCCCTCGACTTGCAGCAAGCAAGCTCATCATCAAAACATTAATATAGGATCAGTAGAAGAGTATTATAAAACAAATGTCCCCTCTCCCAACCTTTTTCATATGGTGATAGAAAAAAAATATAAATATTTGTTATATTTTTATCATGAAGATGTTAAAATATCTTATGATGCCTTATTAGCTGAATAACTATGATTAAAAGATTAACTATGGTTGATACAGTCCCAAAAAATGCTATGGATGCTTTTTATTTCAAACACATTTTAGATTATACTCCCAATTATTAAAATGGTTATATATATATAAGCAGCTCTTTAGTAAACTAATGAGAGAACATTCACTTTTTTAAGAAGAATAACAGAGCCTTGCAGAGGTACCATTTGCAGGACCAGGCCCAGATTTTATTTTAAAATTTTTTCCGGCCCGGGTTTTTTTTAAAAAAATTTTCAGGCCCCGGCCCGGCTGGCTTAGCCTGAATTTTTTAAAATAAATTATATTTATTTTTGATATTTATAGCTAATAATGGCGATTTCAAATATTTGGTTTTAAAATATACAACTCGGCTCGGATATTTTTTCTTAAAAAATTTTCAGGCCCAGCCTGGGTGTTTTTTAAAAAAAAATTACGAGCCCGGCCCGGGTATATTTAAAAAAATTAAAATACGGTCCGGCTCAGGGGCCGGGCCTGCAAGTCTGTGAAAAACATACCTATGAAATACAACATCTGAAAGTAGATTGAATGATTTGGATCTTTTGAATATTCATAGACATTTAACGCCAAGCAAGGATTGATAATTGAAAAATTAGCTCAAAACATACAAAATACAATTATTCCTAAGAAACTTTTTGTGTATTAATTTATATTTACAACATTTAAATTTTTTATACTTTATATATTTTAAAAGCTCAAAAAATTCAAATTTCAATTTTGGGTCATTTAGGTGATTCATATCGTGGGTTATATTCACTTTATATTTTATGATTCACATTTAAATGCCGGTTTATATATATAATTTTTTTAATTCACATTAGTTTAAAATTGTGTATTAGAAAAGTTATTAATCCTAATAAATTTATGCTTAGTATTTTTAATTAAAAATATTATTTCTTAAAAAATTTTATTATCCCCCCCCAGACCAAATTCCTGCGTACGCGCCTGTTAAGGCTTAAAACGATATATTATATTTAATATTAAATTGATGTTTTGAAAAGATAAAAATGATTTTTATAATATTAAATTGATTAAATTTTACCGATTATTATATTGTATCATTCAATAAATAATATAATGATACCTGGTGATAGGTAAAATTTTGGTCAAAATTACTAGAAATATAAGATGGAATTTACAAAATACAACTTAACATATCTCAAACCTTTAATAAACCTACTAGCCCTGATTCTAATCAGATCAGTTATTTTTAAGTCTTCTACACGATTTAATTTAAAACATTTCCATATTTTTTAAATTCACTTGTATTAAAATTATTTAATTATAAAAATTGATTTTAACAATTTTTTGCAAGTCAAATAGTTTTATATTCAAATAAATTAAAAAATATGGAAATGTTTTAAATTAAATCTGACCTGGGTTCTCCCCTATTCATAATTAATTTTAAAAGATTCGAGATACCTAACAAAAGCATGGTTGTTTTCCTTGTGCGAATCTAGATCCAATCCAAAAGCGGTTGAAGCAATTACATCCATAGTATAACACCCAAAAATGTCTTTGGTATCGACAACTGCAGTGTCTTTATCTTCATCATTTTTATTGTTATGAATAAGATTTAGATCGCCATTGATTGAGTCCTTTAAGTGACCTACCATTTGAGAGGCGCAGCTGAGAATCAGTGGAAACATATTGTATTTCATTTTGTGGGAGGTAAAAGTAGGTAATATGAGCCTCCGTCCCAAGCGCCATTCTTCATCTGTGGTGGAGAAAATTGATTTACTTAAAAATTTATTACGGACTGGAAAAATTCTTCGATTAGAAAAATTGGAAAAACTTTTAACCAATATATCCTTAAGGTAGTTAGGATCGCTTATCACCAAAACCAAGCTTTGGCCTTGAGCTACGGCGTAAAATTGTCCATATTTATGGTTCCAGTCCATGAGACATTTTTGGAAGCCTTTAAAATATATCCATAAGAATGTACCAAAGAATGGTAAAGGTAAGGGATGGTTATAGCCGCAACGGAATAGTTTTATCACTGGAATTAAACCATAAATAATTAACCATGCAAAAATAAGGGTGTAAATAAGTGATAGATAATGGTTGCCTAAATAATCAAGGATGTTATACATAACTGGATTGCTGGATTTTGGTGTTTTAAAAATGTTTTTTTATAATATAAAATAATAATCTAATAAATAGTATATATAAACACTCTTTTTTTTCTAAATTATTATATGTTCTTGTTATCTTTTGTGTTACATTATTTAAGTATAATTGATTAAAAAATAATCAATTCATCTTTATAATGACTTTTACAATAGGATCTCCCTCAGGCCATAAGTTTTACGAAAATAATTATAATTAAAATATTTTTAATTTCAAGAGCATAAAATTGTAAGGCATAATAGTTATAATTATTACAATTTACCGATATTATCTATTAAAGGTCTATTTATTGGTAAATATTAAGTTATAAGTGATTTGAAATATTTTATTTTATTCGAAAAAATGTCTATGGCTCAGAACTTGGAATTAATCAAAATTCCGTTTAAAAAAATATGAAGTGTTAACAGGTGTGTAGTGGCGGATTTGAAGCGGATTCTAGATTTGAATCCCTTCATGGAATTTTTATTTTTTTAAAAAATTTACAAGCTCTACTATTAAAATTTTATAAAGACAGTAATATTCTTTTCGGCTTTGAAAAAATATGTATTTATATTTTATATATACTTTTTACATCATAAAATATAAGTAAAGTTTTAGATGCTAATGGTTCCATGAGATAGATTTCATGAAAGTCAGTAGGGTCTAAAAATAAATTAATCAAATATCTAGGGTCAGGGTTAACAAATTAGGTCAAGCATTAAACTAACATGAATATAGTTTATTTCCCTTCTTTTGTTTAAAATAAAATGTCAACTGGGAATCTTCTCCGGGATTTAGGACAAAATAATTACTATTTTAAAAATAAAATGGCGTTTTTTTAAATATGTTTTTCAATAAAAAATATAAAAAGAATCAGGTCTAAAAATTTAACTTTATAAGTCGGGCTCAAGTCGTTTAACTAAAAAAATATAATTTACACAAATCTAATAGCATTTACTTTTTATTTAAACGTTTTTTTGATGACAGCTGTAAATAAATAGAACATATGAAAGTTAATTAAATCAATTTATAAAAATAATAAGGATCAGTGATGAAAAATATGGCACCTCTTAAATTAGGCATTTAAAGATATTTAGCGTTATCCGTGAAATAAAAGTCAAAAATTTAGTAAAGAAATCTTATAAAATAGGACAGTAATTAAATTTTTAAATAATATTGATATTGCTTTTCAAACTAAGTACGTCCTAGAAATGATATCAATTAATTTTAAATAATAATTTTATAGCATTTCAACTTATATTAATTATTATTGAATTGATTTATCAGCTATAGGTATTGTTATTGAGTGGTATTGGTTTTAAAAACTAATACAATATCTACCAGCTAGAGTCGTAAATAAAATTGATATTTACGCATTATTTTTTAATAAAATGATTGGAATTAATTAATTTTAGAAAATTTATATGGCATGATTACATATATGTTTGATATTAATCTAGAACTTGAGGCTAACAGTGGCCCCTACAACGGGGGAAGGGTCAAAGCAACTGCTTCTAAAAATTTGAGTGGGGGTAAGTTTTTTAAATTAATTCCATGGGATTTCTAATTTATGATATCGGACTCGACATTGTGATTCGATTAATACATATTAAATTAAATAATAAGTGATTACTTTTTGATAAATTTTGGTCGATGTTTAGCAAATCAGGTTGTTATCCGAGATTTCTTGTCATACAATTATTTTTCCAATTTCAAAATATACCCAAAAATATTAACCAAAAAAAATACAAGTACTTAATTAATAATTGCACATGGCATAATATAAGAGATAATAAATAGATCACATTAGAAAAAGACATGGTGGGCATTTTAACGATATAAAGAAGCTTTGAAATAGTAGTTTTTAAGAATATTTCTCTTGGACAAATAACAAAAAAATCTAAAGATTTGTTGGATTCTGAGAATTGTAAATTTACTTAATTAAATATTTTTACTAACACAATATTTAGCTTCTTCTGATGATGATGATAATTCTGACTTATGATTCAAACTGGAAAAACTATTCGTTTTTACCTTATAGTCTACTTTTAAATTTTTCTACTTTCACTAATTTAACAATATTAAAATATTTATTAACCATTCCTACTACTTATGTACTGCCAGGATCATGAGTAAAATTAAAACATAACAATTAAATATTGAAGAAATTATAAATTCTTTTGCTTCCTCTTCCCCTAATTTGTCTAAATTATTAATTTAAAAATAATATTTTTAAAGTATATTTTACATTTTATATATATATAATATTAAAGATTGATGCAAGAAAAGTTATTTTTGAAATTTAAGAGTATCAAAAAATAATTAACCGGGAGGTGGGAGGGGGAAAGGGGAGAAAAAGACTATTTGGTAGATTTTCTTCCAAATAAATATTACTGAAGGTACATTTATTATATTTTAATTTAAAAGTAACAAATAACACTTAGTAACATAAAATTTCATTCAATTATTTATAATGAATCCTTTATTTTAAAATTGTATATACGATAGTATATATATATATAATCCGATAATGTTTCCATTTATTACGTTTTCCTGCCATTAATATTTTTAGCAACTAGAAATACTATTAATTGTAACTGACGTCGCTAACTTTTAAAAGGGAAATTCTACCTAAAATTAATAAAAAATTAAAGAATTTATATCTTAATTATTTCAAAATTTTTTGAGGGAGTGGGCGCTTCTTAAGATTTTAGGTGAGTAGATACTGGTTTTATAAGTTTCCATTTTAAAATTCTTAGTTGATAAACATTGCATATGTGGGTTATATTGTAATAAGACCTATGCGACGTCGATTAAATTCGCTGCTGCCAATAATTTTTGACCACGTTGAAGCTATAAAACGTGTTAATGAACACGCCACAGCCAATGTAAAAATTTGGCGGTTGTTCTAAAAAATGAGATATTTAGAAAAACTTGGTTTCTATCTTAAAATATCAAAAATTATCTTTTGTGCTATTTAAATTATAATATAATTTTTTATATGTTACCTTAATCTTTGATAAGAACTCGTTTATTTTTTCAAATGTTATTTAAAAACACTTTTCCATTAGACTACACTTAAAAAATAATCATTCCAATATATTTCTTGTTCATTTATATTACTAGTATAGTTGGGTAATTAAATTAATATATTTTTAAACGTTTAAGTTAAATTTTTAGCCGCAAAATTACATTGAACATCATAAAGTGTCTATATTTTTTATAATCCAAATTGTTTTAATAATCATAATCCTAAAATCATTATGTTCAATCAAAATTTTACAATCTTTGATTGATACCTAATATTTAAATTGTATTTGCGAAAATATTATTGACAGTTTACGACATTAATGTTAATGAGTTTTCTTCCGTAGGCACCTGAAGATTGAGCAGAATTTAGTCGAAATTTAGCCATTACCCAACTATAATTAATAGTCTAATATATTTTTGTTTATTTTATATTACTAGATTCATATTCAGTATAAATATCATTTTGTGACGTTTTGATCATATTTTTTTTTAAAAAAAATTCTTACCATAATCGATATGAGATTAATTTTCCTCGCATTACTGATCGTCTGAGCAATGCTAAGTTTATCCCTGAACTCCATCTCCTTGAACCGCATTACGTGAGATCATTAGAAAATTTATTTGTTAATATGAAATATTATCCTTATTGCTCTTTATTGAATTTAACTTTATTCTTATTTATCATTAACATTTTAATATATACTACTAAACTTAACAAAGATATATTGGATGCTGCATTAACAATTAATACAAGATAGAGTATATCCTAGTGAGTAAAGCCTTCCTTTGCATGTAAATCAAGCATATAAAAACATTTTTAATTTATGTAAAATATTGATAAAGATAACGAAAATGGAAAGATTTATAAATTTTCCGAGTGTTTTTATTTATTTTTAAAAAATTTGTGATTTTATTTAATTATTAGTTATCTAATCTTATTTCTGAAAATATCAATACATCGAACTTAGTGAGACATTTAATAAACTACCATGCATAGGATCGGTTCTAAATCGCTAAAAATTAAGAATCTCGCTTATTTGAAAATGATATTAATAGATGCTAGGAAGTAACCACTTGTATTTTAATTGATTTTTTTTAAATATCGTTGATGGAGGAAATATCCACAAGATTCCTATTTTAAAATTTTCTAATAGATTTAAGCCAGATTCCCAATTTTTCTGTTTTTGGCGATTTCTATTTTAGCGATTTAAAAGGGGAACCCATCTCATAGTGAAAGTTAAAAAAAACGAGAAAAATTAATACAAATGAAATCAAACGAATCAAATCTTTTACTAACAATATCAATATCTTCAAATTTAATGAGACATTTATTAGATAAAAATGACATATCACGTGAAAGTTAAAAGAAACGAAGAAAATCAAGACAAAATTTAATACCATTTTCAAGTCCATTGCAATATTTACAATTACCTTAGAAATGGAAAAGATGAATTCTATACATTAACATGTTTTGTAATTATTAAAAAAAAAATTGAAGTTAAAAAAAAAGTATCGTTAAGCCACTGAAGATTTTAATGGCGGTGCTAAATTAAATCCGCCACCAACCGTCATTTGTAAAAAAAGAAACGTCACATGTTAGAGTAAAAAAAATTAAAAAGTGATTATAACATAACACACCATTTGTATGATCAAAATATATTTGCAATTTTACCAAATGCCGCTAATAACACAGCCGGGCGCACAGTTTAAGAAGATAACGCTATATAGGGACGGTCAACATAATAGTAATTTACTACATAACGACCAAATGCATTTTTTTAAATTAAACTTATCCCATATCTGTCTGACTCTGACCCTACCTTAAGGTTCATTTCAGAAGAGAATTAGTCACTCCGGGGATCGAACTAGGATTATGATTTACCCTCAAAGTTTTTAACCTAAAATAAGTCACAGCTGCCATTCAAAAATTGATGAGTGTTTTATATAAGGACAATTTACTACATTATCGAATATTTGGATATGATAGAAAAATCACATGACCATAACGTCCAACGCTATTCAAATATTATGCAATCATTTAATAATATAAAAATAATATTTTATTATATCACGATGGTCTTTTTCTATATATAATATAAAAATATATAAATATAATGTTTCACATTATCATCATATTAAATATATATGGTATATAAATGTTTTTTTTAAACTTTACAAAGATATACTAGTGCAAAGATTGAATTGTGAGATAATTTATCTGCCTCTTTCAAACATGATCAACATGCTAAAATGACTATGGTTATGATTGAATTATTTTTTAGACTTATTGCATCAATTTATCGTGAAAAATCTAGCGGATAATTAATCTACTTGTATAAAATTTGTGAAAATTTATATTATAATACTTGACTTGGTACAATTTCGTTAATGGGAATTGCGAAGTGTGCTTTGTATTTTAAAAATACTTAAGTGGCTCATTTGGTTTTAAGAGAATTGGTCCATATTTATTCACTTTATTAGGTGCTGTGTATTCCTACAACACATAGTATGTTATATAACATGCTGATTTTAGCGCTATTCTTTTTTTAAACGCATTTTATTATTACGCGTTTAATAGAGGCTTTAATTCTGTTCCCACTTCACTAACTTCGATTTGATTTTTGTCCTTTTCATAAATACTTTGTTGATCATTCTTTTTATTTCGTAACCTAAACCGATCTTCTTCGGTTCCACTTATGAGCAAGTCGCTAGCTAAAGAACCACTATGTTTGGGCATCTCACTAGATATTTTTGAATATCTGAGCTTTCTGTGTTGCATTCGACTGAATGCATTTTTCCTATGTCTTACGGCTAAGCGATCAAGGTTATAATCGTCAGAAATTGTGGTAAGCGGTTTGGTTTGGAGATCTTTAGTTCCTTTTTTAGAGGTTCGATGGATAATATTGAAGGGTGCATTTTTAGGGTTATCTTCCAGTGCGATACTAGAGTTTTGTTTGGAAACCGTTAGATATCTAGACATAGGTTTGCTGTCCAAGTTTTGAAAGGAGAAATGACCGGAATGCCCATTATTTTTAAACAATGAGGGTGCCAAGGAAGTGGGCGAATGTAAATTTGATAATAATGACATAGTAGAACCAAAGAAATTACGAGCAGCATTGGAAAAGAAATTGCCACTATTATCAGAGCGATTATTTTGGTGCGGCGGTAATTTTATTGGAAGAAATTTTATAATTATACTATCATCAGGCTGTTCATGCGACTGAGAATCGTTTGAAGCGGGGATCGCAGAGTATGATGATGGGATATCATTTTTATCTTCCACTTGCATGTAAGTTTCACTTCTTTTATCATCCGTAGGTGCGTTATCAAGGTCAAATTTTTTCATAAAAATCGGGGATGTGGGAGGTGTAGCGTACATAGATTTGCAATTGTTTTCTTGCCTATTACTTATAATTTTATTGCGTTTTAAATTTGAATCGTCATTTAGTTGTTCAGCATCACTGCATTCCTCTGGAATTTTCTCTGAGTTATATAATGGTATGGAGTTATTTTGGTTTTCTAGAATTTCATATTCCGATCTGAAAAGGTGCGATGCGTGAGGGCTGATTTTATTTTCTTGAAAATTTTCGATATCTTTCTTATTAGTAATATCTTTATCGTTCAAGTCAGTTTTTTTGTCCATCTTGTCAGATTTATCAGTCTTATAACCTAGAAGCCAATAAGTGGTTATTTTACCTTTACCCTGTTAATAAAAGATATTATTAATAATTTAATAAGTTATTTTTTTATAAACCTTAACGTCAATATCTCCTCTTAATTCAAGGTCAAATATACCACTAGGTTCAATTAAATCCCGGGTAAACGAGCTCATATGAATCATATTCGCTATAAAAAAAATTAAATTTTAAATTATTTAGTTATTTTAAACGTTTTCCTGTAGACTCCATCCTTGAAGCAGTGTTGACTGTATCTCCAAATAAACAATATCGAGGCATTTTTAATCCAACTACTCCTGCGACACATGGGCCTGTGTAATTATTATGGGTATAATGGTTAATAAATGTATTTCTAAAATCCAAATTGATGATCAAAAGTCAATTTTTTTTTAAAAACCTGAATGAACCCCGATTCTAAGAATTAATTGTTCAAATGGTCGGTGTCTTATTGTGAAAGACTTTGCGGCTTTTTGTAGAGCCAATGCCATGGCTGATATTTCTCTCGCGTGTTCATTAATTCGTCTAGGTAATCCTGAAACTACCATATACGCATCGCCTATCGTTTCCACCTAGCAACGCGATTAAACAAGTATAGAGCTAAGAAATATGTATGTTGGCGGCTAGTGTTGTTAAACGGCTCAATTTGAGCCGATTAAAAAAAATATCGACTAAGCCTCGAAATTTCGAACTATATGTCTAGACCTTTGCTCCTATGAACAAAATTTTCAGGCTTGCGTAATATTTTTCTGGATAAAATACTGTGTTAGCCGTTTAACAACACTATTAGCGGCAATGTGTTTTTTTAAAATTTAGAATCATTTTTTGAAGCGAGTTTTTTAAAATTTCAAAATCTGATTTTATCGAAAATGTATTTCAGCAAGTTTAGAATATTAGACAATTTTGCCGTTAACCTTTGAGTCATTTATAATTTATGTAAAAAATTTAAGGAAAAATAATGTAAATTATATTAAGTTCAAAGGTTTATGGCAAAATTCTCTGAAATTCAGAGGGTAGCTATATCAAACTGGTGAAATATATTTCCAGTAAAATCAGATTTTTAAATTTATATATAAACGCGCTAGTTGAAAAGATAACACATTGCAGGAAAAAATACATTGCAATTAAGAGATATATATTTAATAATAAATAAATCCAGTTAACAAAAAAACGCTAAAATCAAATTTAAGTTATTTTTTTGAATACTTTCAAATTTTTTTAAAAAAAACACAAAAAATGGTCTATTTTTTATTTAATTACCAGCCTTATACAACTAAGATTTATAACTGGAATCATTTATATCATATAAATTTACCAAATGAAATTTACTTTATAAACATCATAATTTCCTATAGTGGAATCGAAACACGTGTATAAATCATTGAGCAAATCAACAACCTAAGAATAATGATGAATCAATTTTATTAGTCTCGCATGTTATAAATTAAATTCATCATGACATGATTTTTTTTTGCGATTTTACCTGCATAGGAGTACTGCTAGCGGATAATGAAGTAAAACCGACTATATCGCTGAAATATATTGTAACACTATCAAAAGATTCTGCCGTCACAGATTCCCCCTTTATTAATTGACCAGCCACGGATCTTTCAATTCAATTTAAAAATAAAACATAACGTTTAAACCTAAATTTGATGAATGTGTACCTTGGTAATAGTTGGTACAATACTTCCTCAGCTTTTCTTTTTTGTTCTAAGTAATCGGCTGTTCTCTCTTCTACCAGATTTTCTAAGTTATTAGCGTAATGTTCCATTCTCGATAACAAGTTGTCCAAAATATTATCACTTTCGTTTTCCCTTTTATTAGGTTAATAAAAAGCAAGTAATTTCAAAAAAATGTTTAAGTTCGGTTTAATGAAATAAAATATTAATTTAATTTTTGTAACCTTATATATATTTCACGTACAAGAATACTAGGAAGTTTAAAGGTAGTGCCCATTAAGACTAAGATAATGGTAAAGAGACTTAGGTGGTATACAATGAGAAGGCCTATGAACTACATAGGCAATAAGGTTGAGAGTTTGAAAGTGATGGGTAAACTTAAAAGAGGAACCAATATTTCAATGGGGCCATAAAGTTAGAGCCAATATGAAGAAGTATAAATTAGATAAAAGAGATAGTATGAATAACATAAAGTGGAGAGAGATATTGAAGGAGCTTACCATTAGAAAAGGTGAAGACTAAAGAGAAAAAAAGATATATATTTCACTTTATTTGAAATTTAATACAATTTACCCTAATTATGAAAAGATAATAATGTTATACCTCATAATGCATGATTATAATTCAACTCAAGGAAATTGCCATTAAAACAGCTTATTTATTCAAATTTCTATTCGTCTATTTAAAATCATACGGATGTCATGTTTAACAGGGTAATATTAAATTTTATTAAAAACTAATCTAACCACTAACATAAATCTCTCAAACCTATATAACTAATCCTAATTCATTTCTGTCTAATTTTTAATCCTACTCCTCACATAAGATTATTGTTTAATTTTAATTATATTTCATCCAATTAAAAAAATTCCTTCCGTTGAACATTACCTGAGTTGAGCGATTATCATGATATATAATTGAAAATTTTAATATTAATTTCGGACTAACTTATTAATTTTCCTGATAATAAGCCTAATGGCATTAAAATCCATTCGATCAATCGGATCTTCACTCCAGCATTTCTCAATCAACTTTATCACTTCTTCATCGCAATCTGCCCCGGCTAGCGTAGGCCTAAAGTAATGGTTTGAAGAATTTAAGTTGTAACCCGCTTTGACTTTTAATATTATGTCTTCCATTTTTAAAATAAAATTGCATAGTTGAGTCGATTAAATATTTTCATAAGTAATAACTAGATTGTTAAAAGAAACAGACACCGTACCAATATAAAAAAAATGAACCAGAGAAAAGTGCATATTAGTGTTGTTAAACGGCTCTATTTTTAAAAACGGTCAACCCAATATTTTGCTAATAGATGGCAAAATGGTTTAAACATCTATTAAAGAAATTTCGAAGCTTGACTAATATTTTTTAGCTAAAATCTTAATTTTAAATCGGTTTAATTTGAGCCGAATTTTATAAACGGCTAACTCAATATTTTATCAACAAAAATATTACGCAACGCTGAAGAGTTTGCTCATAGATAGCACAAATATCTAGACTTCTATTAACAAAATCTCGAGGATTAAGCAATATTTTTCTGGCTTAAATATTGAGTTAGCCGTTTTTAAAAACTTGCTCAAAACGAGCCATTTTTGGAAAAAATAAATTATGTCTTGTATGGATAATTGTGTAAATAAATAAACCTATGATAAGTATATTCAAAAATTTCTAAATAATAGTTATATATCTCGTGAAATAAGAATATTGTGTAAATTGTAAAATTTGTACCAACCAAAAAGTAATTATAATAATTAATGCTCCTAAACGAGTATTCGAATAGGACTATTGTTATTATTCGTATTCGTTTCAATAGTTTTATTTTGATATTAATCGATTATTATTCGAATAGTAAAACCAGTATCGAATATTTTCGAATCTTAAGTATAATATAATATTTTAATTATAATAATTATTAATGTTTTTTATTTAAAGTATACTAGCTTCAGATTTATTTTTATTTTACAATGGTGCAATTTATTCTTTATATATATGCCTTCTGGGACATGGAATCTATGAGGATTCAGAATTTCTTAATTAAAAGCCAATTAACTGTGGGCGATTTTTAAATTAAAAATTTTTTATTTGACCGGAGATGTGTTCCGTCATGTATAGCTCATCCACAATGTACATTTCAGACGATATTGTCCGGAAATTTCTTTAAATATTCTTAATTTATATTCAATTTTTATATAAATTTTTTTAAATTAATTAAAATTTAAAAAAAATACACAAAGGCTTATTGCGAAAATTGTCTGAAATTTGTATGGTAGGTTATTATGCTAGAATACATTCGATGTTAAATTCCGAATTCTCGTTGACTCCAAATCTCAATACCACAACAAAATGTAGGTTTGCTTTTATTTTTTAGAATAATAAAATTTTTCGTTCGAGTATATTATGTTCATTCTAATAATAGTTCAAAAATTTAGCATTAATCATATTTTTGTTATGATTAGTAATAAATAGGAGTAAAAGTGATCTTTAAAATTGTGTTCATATTTATATTCTAATAGAATCGAATATAATGAATGGCTTATCGAATATGAATAATTTATTCGAATAATCCAAATTAATATAATGTATTCGTGAATATTATTTGTATAAATGAAAATATTCGCTTCATAATAGAGCCACTATTTTATAAATGTTATAACAATATAATAATTAGATATTTAAACCTTTAGCAGAGATTTTATTCTCTCCTATATAGAAAGTGCCTTTTCTCAGCCCAATCTCTTGCATTATAATAGCGAATGAATACACGTCGCCTTTTTGAGTCCCGGCTGGGGGAGGTTCGCTTAATCTTAAGAGTTCAGGTGCTGTCCATAGTTTTCCTATTATTAATTTTATCGTCATTTTTGGTAAATTATTGTTTTATTTGATTAAAATAATTATTAGTTTGCAAGTTTCAAACTTTCATAATATTCAGGCTCGCCCTTAAAAAAGTTGTCGTAATTAGGTCTTAAAATATGAAGTCCGAAATCAGTTATCTTCAATACGAAACGTGAATCCACTAGACAATTTGTCGATTTTAAATTTCCGTGCGATTTTATTTCGCTGTTATGCAAAAATGACATTCCCTTGACAAAATTTTTATAAACAAAGAATAATTAAATATGCCATAGTAAGTTTAAAAAAAGTGTGTTATGAATAGAATTAGGGTATAATCGAAAGGGAATTGGTATAATATATTAATAGATTATATTGTTTATAATGTATTAAAAAACTTCATTATCATTATCAATACTAACCTTCGTCAAATCATGCATCAAGGAATATCGGAACATCCAATCTAGTTGAAGTCGCCCATTTTCTAGTATATCTCTAAGACTACCTTTCTGACAGTACTCAGTGACTAGGCAATTATGCAATGGGTTTGTATTATCTAAACAAGCCCCTACGAACCTGGTTATATAATCGTTTTGCAAATCTTTCCTTTGTTTTATCTCCAATAACATGGGTCTAGTTATCTCTATCTTTTTCTTGCTTATGACAGGTTTGAGTATTACCGGGACACTCTTGTAATAAGCGATCATCACTTTTCCTATCCAATTATCTTTAGTGATTTTCCCAAATTCTAATAAAAAAATTTCATATATAAATATTTTATTAATAGCATTAAATTTTTTTAGAGAAAAAAAATATTGTATAATGATGTATACCTCCATACCAATTAGAATCCGAGCTTTTCTTGTGGTTGTGTCCGATAAATTCTATGGAGGCAGCTTTAGAAATTTTGGAAATTTTGTTTGAAATTTTATGCTCGTTGAAATATTGATTCTCGACTTCTAAAAATAAAAATTTTTATAAAATATTTAAAAAAATAAATGTTCAATCTGTTATATTACACTTAAATAATATTATGATGCGCCTCTGCTAAGTGGTTCAAAAGAATATATTTCTTATTGATCAATAATTTGATAAATTTCTTTTTAACTTACAATATTGGTCAATGAAAATTTAAGATAATTTGACTTATAACGATGAACCCAATTTGTTTAAAAATTTGATATTATTAGACAGTCACGCTTCCAAGATATTTATTATAATGAGTCAAAAATTTATAACTTAATTAGATTTAGAGATGATATGAATTTAGTTGTGGTAAAATTAAATATTGTATCTTATCGAATATATTTGGGAAAAAATGTATTTTTCTCGATATCGGCATGCCCGTTTAAAATTTATATCGATCTCTATTTCAATACTTTCTAAAAATATCGTTAACAAGCTATTATATAGTTAGTTATAAATTGTCTTAAGTCACCACATCTAATAAATTATTAGTTAATATAATCGAATTTCAAAAGGATTTTTTTTATAATCAAAAACTGAATTAATCGTAAGGCTGCAAAGGAGATGGTAACTTGATTTGTGGCGTGATTTCTTCTTGTGATATTTTCTCCGTTTTCTCATATAATCTAGAGGGCCCTGCCTGTGTTTTTGGTGATCATCGCTACCTCCTCCGGACTCCTCTATAATATCGTCGCTGGCAAGTGAATTGGAGGAATTACTATCGTAATTACGCCTATATTCGGAATCTTGTTTGTTATTATCCAGGCTAAAACGGCTCAGGCTATATTTGCTGTGAAATTTTTTATTATCGCTGGATTGTAATAGACTTTGAAACATCAAATCCTCCCAAGCGATTTTCCATTTCATGGCTCCCAGCTCAGCTTCTAACCGATAACGTCTATTCATCATTGAAAAAAGCAAAATAATCATAAAATGATAAAATAGATTTATATATTATTATTTCAAATTCACAGTATAATGTTTTTTTTTCTAGAGACCAATAAAATGTTGAAAGCCGGAGGAAGCATTAAAAAGGGGAAAAAGTTGATACAATAAAAAGTCTTATAATATATAAGAGGGGGCCGGACGGTGAGCGGGGTGAGAAAGCAAATGTTTATAACTTTCAAACTCTGGCAAATTTTCGAAAAATGTATTCTTATACAGTGAGATCTGCATTCAAGAGATATTGACTATATATTTCTAGAAGGTTGTTCCGGAATCTCTGTCTCAGTCGGAATAGGTTCTAGAGTTATTTATGTAACCGAGTTAAAGAGAGAAAGGCAAATGTTTTTTAAAAAAGTTAATTTTTAAGATTATGTCATTTCAAAATTTTCATACTGATTTAATCGTGCCTAATAGAATAATTTATACATATGAATATTAGAATATTGTTAATTAAGTTGACAATATTATTAAAAATTTATTTTTAACATAATAAACCCAAACCTGTAAATAAAGAAGGATAAGATGGAAAGCAAGCACACTAAAGACCCCAAAAATGTTATGACGATGGCGTATTTAGGAAACTCTTAAATAATATGATTAAAAAAAAATTATATAAAGAAATACTTGCAATCATTAGATACATAATGTGACAACCCTTAGAGCGGCTATTCTTTCATATTTTTTCTGTTTCTTTCTTCTTACTCTAGAGAGGGGCTGTCACTAAATGGAATGGCAAGAAAAAATAACCTTTCTTTCTGCACAAAGAACCATCATACCCGCATTCTGGTTGATCTAAGGGGGGCGTAGATCTCCCACCGGCCCAATGAATCGCTTTCCCGGGCACCTCTAGCAATGAATTTTCTTTGCCATAATAATTCAATACTACCTTTTTTTATGTATCAATTCGAAAGATAAGTTTTAGTTCAAATTTTGTGTAAACTAAATATCCACATTTTTTCTTTATTTTTTGCTATCATTTTAATAAAATAAACCGATTACGGCTTTCAATATATAATTTTAATTATGGTTTAAAAAAATATTTCAAATAAATATTTTATCATTAAATATTATAATTAGTAAATAAAACAAACTAAAAATTAATTTGTATTTACAAATAGTTTATAATAAAACGCGGGATAGATAAATCCAATATTTATTTTAAATATTTCTTCATCATCACCTGAAATCTGCCGGTGTTAGGATTTAGATCCCACAATGAATAATCTGTGTAACGGTCGCCGTTAGCATCTATGCTTACGTTCCCAGTAATTCCTTTTGTCGTATAGTAATAAATTAATATTCTTAACCATTTATATCATATATATCTGGTCGACATTTATTTTTAAAAATTAAAATTTTTCTTTGCCCAGTACGCAGCAAAAATTTTGTAACAAATAACATTTTTGGTGTTCGACCCAGATTTGCATTCTTTTTAACCCGACCCGAATATTTTTAAAGCTCTAGGTCAAATTTATGGGCCGAATTCCGGGCTTGACCTGCAGATCTCTGATATTTTAGTTTATAAATTTTATATAAAAATATTGGCATTCCATGGTCCAAACAATGCCACTACATATTGTAAACTTTTTCTTTAGGATGGGTGCTATATATAGGCTTATTATGGAAAAATTATAATTATTAATCTTTTATTTTAGGGTTAGGGTCTTGAAAAACATTTTCTAGCTCTTCTATGATCTCTTATTCTTTTTCTTATTTTTTTCATTAACATTTAGTATAACATTAGGAGATAAAAAAAAGTATGAATACCAGTAAATGTTCTATTCCACATTCTCCTGGTGATCTCAACTCCGTCGGTATAATTAAAACCAGCTTGTAAGGTTTCGTTTAGAGCCAAAGCGTACAAAATTACCGCGTCGTGAAAAGCGCTTACAAACGCGTTCACCTTTTTTATTCAAAGAAATTATAAGTTAATTTTTAATTTAAAACGTGATTTTTTAATTATTATCACGAATAAAATGAAATTTTGAAATTAATAATTATAACTTTTCTTAAGTAATTCACAATTATAATGCCTGTGGGTTAATTTTATTTTAAACAAGGTTAATTTTTATTAATATTTGTGGGGAAAAAATATTTTAAACATCTTTCTTTTTTACGTTCTTTTTTTCTTTAAATTTTTTTGAAATAATTACATTTTCGGTACCGTAATCGAACCCATATACTCTTTTGGATATTTCTTTGACTTGACCCGAAAATTTTCTGTATTCCTCATTATCTGGCATCCTCATGGTGAGTGTAAATAAAGCTTCATACGCTATCTTAGCCTTGGCATTAATCTCCGTGCCATCTTTCTCTACCTCCCATATGGGATTTTTGTGATCTGGTCTGGAAGTCGTATTATTTTTTAAAAAACTGAATAAGAAGATAAATCATTAAAACTATCCAATAGATTATTTTTCACTTATTAAATTAACATAAGTTGTTGTCGGGTTTTAAAAATAAATATTTACTTTTAAATTTTGTGGTTTTTAATTACATATAAAATAATATATATATTTTTTTTAAATTTTAACTAATATGCATAAGAAGCTTTAAAGGAAAGTCATTTTTTTTAAAAAACACGGAAGACATTTATATACTCGTTAATTCGTGGTAATTGCCTTTCAGTCTCACAGAGACTAAATTCATCATGAAAGTGTTTTAGATGGGAATATTCCATTTAAGATAAATATGCTCTTTAGCTCTTTATGGCTTTATGGATTCCTTTTTAAGAAATAAATTCGCAACCAAAAAAGTGAGAGGAGGGGAGGGGGCCGTTAATCTAGATTAAATTCATCCTAAACGTGTTTTAACAATTTCTGGGAATATTCTATTTAAGAACAATCTTATAAATATTAGCTAAATTAATTTTTATGTACTCCTTTTTAAATATAAATTCGTAACTGAAAAAGTGAGGGGGGGGGGAGGCCCTAATATAGATTTTTCGCCATTGACGTGATTTAACAGCTGATGGATATTCCATTTATGATAAATAGCTGCAATGTTCTTTAAATAAGTTTTTTTATGGATTACTTTTTAAAATAATAAATTTATATCCGAAAAAAGAAAGGGGGGGGGGCGTGGTTGTTAATATAGTAATTTGTAAAAAATAGAAGTTTATACTTGTTGAAGAGTTCGATATTAAAAAAGACGTATTCGCCACTTTGCACCATATTCAAATCATACGCAGCCAATAAAATTTTCCGCACCGTAGCTTGAGACGCGCAGAGTATAATTACTGTTATATATTAAAAAATAAAATTTATAAAAAATATAAAAGCAATAAGCAATTAGTCAAAGACCCGGAACCAAAAAAGTGTCCAATTTTAGAAGCAAACAGAACACTTTTAAAAAATTATCCGAAATAAGTTTCCAGATGTTATAAAATGTGTTCCTGGAAGTTCCGAGTTCTTATGAAATATTTCAGCGTTTCGGGAATTTTCTAATAATCTGAAAGTTATGAGAACTGATACTTAAAAGACCTGGAAAGGAAAGGACATCAAATGGAAATTCAAATTTTAATATAGTGGGAACAGATCGGAATTAAAATAAAGGCCCTTATTATGTGCTTGCTTCCAATCGAATGCTTATCATTATAAACTTAGTATTATCTAATTATAAACATATAAAAGTTAATTGTGATTATTAATTTAAACGTCTGTGACCCAGGTGAATATATACATAAAAAACTAATTAGGGTATCAAACGAAATTTGATAATTTATTCCAATTAAAAACTTAGACTGTAATAAGATTGCATACAAATTAGCATTTACGAGTTTTTCTTAATATAATATGTCATTATAAAAAATTTCCAAAAATAATTGTAGCTAATTAATATCTCTTTTTACGACAATTCTATTTTATACTTTATTTAAAAATAAAGAAAATTAAAAACGTTTTTTTTGTTAATTTTTCAAAAAAACTTACATAATTCTAAGGTTGTTGTAAACATTATCAGTTTTTTAGATATGTAAAATGTTATTAAACTATTTTTATTGGCATTTTGTTTCTTATGCAAGAAAAAGGTGATTTTAATTAAAGTATAAAATAAATATTATGTAAATTATGTTGAATTATTACCCAATTCAGTCATTTAATTTTTTCTTTTCTAATTCTATTACCATATAAATTGATTGAAATCTATAATATTAGCCAGTAATGCGATATTATAATATAATACAAATTATTTTTATCTAACTATAATATGTTAAATCTTATATGATTCATATTCTAAGCTGCTTTAAGAATTACATTTTAAAAATGACGAACATAGTTGCTTATTTTAATAAAGCTTAAGTAAATTAGGACTGTTATTTAGGGCAGACGAATTAATTTTTGTCCGTTCATGTCTTAGTAAGCCCAGTTCTTTACCTTATTTCTTAAATTAAAGTTTTCTAAAAATTTGAAAGTTATAGGTGAAAAAAACCGACTATGAGACTTATACTGAAATATATTTACAGCAAATTCAAATCTTCAAATTTAAAAAACCTCAACAAATAATTTTACTATTTTCCAAATTTAAATCATTTATTTAGTTTTGTGCCTTTTTTTTGAAATTCGAAAATTTTGTTTTCCTAAAATGTATTTCGGAATTTGTCAAAAACTTACCCTATAAATTTCAGACAATTTTATATCATACTACACATATTGCCTGATTAAGCACATCGCCGGTAACATATATAGCATATAATGATTTTATTCAGTTATCAATCCAATTTTGATTCAGCTTGATAGAGGATGGATTTATAAATAGTAGGCTGTTTACCAGCCTATGTAGCTTCCTCTAAACTACCTAAAAAGAAAGGAGGTTTTTAAGATATACGTACGTAACCTATCTCTGTTACTCTTCTCGAACCAAGATATTTTTAATATACACACTAAAAAAAACTCAAAATAGGGTGTTCTAGTTCAAAATCTGTCTAACCTAGGCTAAACAGAAATAAGTTTCAGAGACGAACCAGCAACTCGATCAAAGTCCACTTTCAATTTAGTTAGCCTGGTCAAGATGACTCTGCTTTTGAAGAAAAGATACAATGTAGTTGAAAAGGAAAAATATGTGACTAAAAAGCTATATAATCTAAAATTCTTGAATTACGATTTTTTGAAAGTTTTCGAAAATATCATCTTAAAGTCTTAAACTAATTAAAATATTCCCCTTACACTTCCCCAGCCCCCCCCCCCTTATTCACAAGAAATGAATATATTATATAACCTTATATAAAATACTTATAATAAAAAATAATTTTTTAAAATATCATTTAAAAAATATAAAGTGTAAAACCAAAACTATTCTTGAAAAAATAATGTCCAGCCAAAGGCCTGTAAAAACGGGTCTAAAGCTCTCAGTAAAGTGTATGACTTTTGGAAACATTCTAACTAATACAATCTTAAAAATTAAGTTTTTGGTTTTTTGTTTTGCCAATAAAAACGCATACACATATGCACATTAAAGAAGCGAAAAAAACTTCGAGCAATTTTAGATGTATCATTGAGCCATTTCATATAATTTGGAATATTTTGAACATTAATAGGATCTTCTTCAAAAGCGTTAAAAGGAGGCCTGGAATTGTTGACGAATTTATTAGGAAAACCCTCCATCAGCTCAGAGAATATGGCCTCTGCTATGAAGCTGCAATCTGATTTGGCCAGGTGCTTACGATCAAGATTTTCGCTGTAGAGCATAGCAACTGTTGACCATTTAAAATGTTGAAGAAGCCTGATAATGAATACGGCCAGGTTTCTGAAGGAACCATTTACTCTGGTCAGTAATTTATATTCCGTCTTATCAGCGAGTTGGTCCACGAATGCACCGGGACTTATCAGGGGAATATTCCAAAATGGAGAAAATCGGCCTACAACGGCTACCGCGTAACTGCACACCGGTCCCAAAAAAACGTTAGCAGTCTTTTCCCTATAAAATTCGATGGCCTCTAGGGGCGCGTAAGTGGCCGAACATTTGGTGTTCCTGAATTTAACCACAAATTCGTAGTTCAACATAGGATAGGTTTGTCTAACCTTGTTAAGAGCCACGAATATGGCGGGTAGGATCCATCGCCGGCTAAAAGAGTATTGTTGTGTTTCATTAAAATCGTCCGGGGCCAATACGCCTATGTATATGATTTCGTTCGATACCACATGAGCCTCTAATGGTTTTCGTTGCGGTTCCAAAGTGGTAGTCAAAGGTGGTGGAGACTGAGAAGACGGACTTTGACGTATAAGACGGAGAGATTTAATGGTATCCATTTTGGTAAGTTTCAAAGATTTTGGCTCTGTTAGACTTCTTATACTGATAGGGTAATGATAATTTGGTGTTTTTATAGCTGTATGATGATAAAATAAAAGGGAAACGTTAACCCTTGGGGTTGCTAACAAAATGCTGTTTAAAATGTATAAAAAGATAGTAAGTGATAATTTGGATAGTACAATAATGCGATATATATGAGTCATCAAACCAATTTTCATTGGTCAAGAGAGAAAGATGTCCTATAGTTCCACATAGAGTTTATTTTTTTATCGTTCTTATAAAATTTAAGTAAACTATTTTAAATTATTGAATTACAAAATAACAAAAATTCAATTTTTTATTATGATGAATATGATGTCTTAGTCCACATTGAAACAGTTCCATGATATTTTTTTTAACACTTTTAATTTAATTGCAAGTTTAAGTTTTTAAAAAAAAATTTATGTTATTAATTAATAAACAACCCAACAAAATAAAAATAATTTTACCCCCATAAATTTATTTATTTTCTTAATTTTCAATGTCAAAATTATATGACTTTTCATCTTTATTTATTTTAAACATTTACCTTCACTATACTTAAATATCATAAATATTTACAGCAACACGTTATAAAGGGTAAAATTTATCAATTAAAACGTAAGAAATAAATATTTGATCAACTTTCTGCGATTTTTTTTTACTGATAAATTTTAAAGAATAAATCAGGAAAGATTTTATTTTTCGCAAAAGAGGCATATAATCACTATTTTGGCGTTAAATCAGGTTAATATCGGATTAGGGATAATCTTCTTTAAAACTATCATTTTTAAAGAAAAATAACTTTTAAACGGAAATTCTTAGTTGCATTTTTCTTCCCCTTACAATAATAATAACGTTTAATGCCAGTCTGCGAGATTTTTAATATTATATTTATTTATATTGATTAATTATTTAAGTTATAAAATTAGATTTTATAAAATTGAATTTTATAAAAATATTAATTTATATTATTATTATTATATTTTATCATACACTGGCAGGCTAGGCCTTGAACGAGAGCGAGCAATCAGATGTTATCGTTTTAATAATCGAAACTGGGCTTAAAAATTAATAAAATAACGGATAAGAAAATAAAGCCAAACCACCCGATTTTATTGTTCATATTATTTTTTAAAACTTTTTCTCTTTTGAAATTTTTTTTACAACCAAAAATTATATTTTTAAAAACGAAATTAGAAATAGGAGATGTAAACTGATATAAAATTTTAAAAATTCTGGTTAGGTTTAAATAATTTAAAAACCCGAGTCTAGGCGAGACCAAAATTTTATTAATTAAATCGGAGCATATTAAACATAAATGCAGAACAATATTTTTTTAAGCTTGATCAGGCGATAGTAAAAAAAAACTGCAGAAACCAATGCCCTATAAAGGGGTTAATAGAGGGTAAAGCTCTTCCCACCCGAGGAATCCTGATCTTACTCATGTAATACATCGTGTATATCCTTACATCTCTTTTACTATATGTAACTCTAATAGTAAACAAGAAACCAATATAAAAATAAATAAATTATTCTTTGCTTTGTCTCATTTCTAATTTTGAATAATTTTATATGGTGATTTTAAAAGTTACAATTTCTGAAAATTTCTTTTCGACTTTATATCGGGAAGGAGAGAGGGGTTGAAGTTTTGAGAGATGAATTACAGAATTAGAATTAAATGTATATGAGCTGGTTGGCACATAGTAGACTTTCTTGGAAAATGTATTATTGCCATTCACGTAAGATTTTTCGATAAGGATGTGTCATTCACATTATTCAGATACCAAATTATTTTTTAAACAAATCTGTCAATAACCTCGATGGCATTCGACAAACTTGAAAGAATACAACACATCTTTTAAATAAGATAGTAACCTCGTAAGTTTAATATGTGGATATTAGGTAACTAATCTTCAACATTTTATTTAAAATAATGGAAAATAGGGCTAAGAATTATTGGGTATCAATATCCGCTAACAACACAAACTTAGTGTAAGAAGTATGCATAAAATATTTTGACAAAATTTAAGATGTAACTATAGAAGGATAATAAATGTTATAGGAGTTGACCTTCATTTTAAAGTTTAAAAAACGATCTATCCAAATAAAAATAATTTAGCGAGTCTCGAATAACAGAATTATTCAATTCTAAAATTCGAATTAAATACGAATAAGTAAAAGTCGAATAATTTTTTTTTATCTATTATTCGAAAGAATTATTTGGAAAGAATTATTTGAAATTATTGATATAATTTAAAATTATTGGTATTATTTGAAATAGTTTGCAAATATTAATTATTCGCAATTAGTAAATATTCAAAATTTCATTAATATTTGGAATTATTCTTAAAATAAGTTCCTTGAGGAAATTTATTTACTTTTTTCATCTATAAATTACTTTTTTAAATTTTAATAATGCATTTTTTAATATTTTAAAATTTTAAAGAATTTAACTTTCGAATCGAATCAAATGGAATAATATTTCTATTATTCCTATCAATATGAATGAATTATTCGATTCGATTTTACTAATTTATTCGTTTTGAAAATATAAATCGAATACGAATTAAAGGAGACTGGGGCTAATCGAACCGATTTTAGTAAAACGGGCTATAACTTCTGTGGCTCGGTTCTATTTTAAATAATCGGGTTCGGGCCGGGCCTAATATTTTTAAAAAAAATTCTTGCCGGGTCGGGTCGGACCTTGGAATTTTTTTAAATATATCTAAATTTATCAATTTTATATTGAATTTTTTATTTAAAAATAAAAATATTTGATTTATATTTGATTTTAGTTATTGAAACTAAACGACATATAACATATGTCTTTTATTTTGAGTAATTATAAAAATTAATTTCTATATTGAAATAAATTCGGGCCGGGCCGGCAAAATTTTTTTAAAAAATTTCGGCTTCGGCCGTGCCTGCAAAACTTTTTAAAAAAAATTTCGGGCCGGGCAAGGCTTGAAAAATTAGGCCCGATGCAGATCACTAGTTCAAACTATCATAATATTTAAATCGAAGTTAATTATATATAAAAGTTGAAACGTAATTTTGGTTAATTTGAATAACTATTTTGGACATAAATAAATAGGATTTTAAGAAGAGATTATGATTTCCTAGCATAAATCTTAAATACAAATCATACACAGCCATGAAATTTTCTTTCAAAAATTTTGAAAATTTTTTTTCATATTAACTCCATAATTGACGTGTATAGTTTATCAAGCCCAATAGATCTAAGTTGACTAATCATGATTGAAATAGTATCTAGACAAAATAAATACTCTAAAACTTTTTTCTCGAATTATAAAAAAGGGTTAAAACTTTGCTACAAAACTTAATTTATATATAAATAATTATATAACTTAATAAAAATTAATCTCTCATGTAAAAATCTTTTGAATTTTAATCTTTTAATAATTAATCATTTCAAAAGTTTCTTGCCTATTGATGCATACTAATAAAAGCTATATTAGGATGAAATCTTAACCTTCTAGTCTATTTAATTTTAAAATGAGATTAAGAGATTTGCCAAGCCCCAAGGTTTAACTAACCCTGGTCTCCCCTACTAATTTTCGATTAGTATTTTTGTAGGTATACCTACCAATGGCAACTCTATTAAAATAATATCGATTATCTATTTGATTTTTTATAACTTATCAGGTAGTATCACTCATTTAAAATCGTACTCTTTCTTTTATGAAAAAGGAGATCTACCAATTTTATTGCAAATTTTTTTAATAATATACAATCAAACATAACGCACCAGTATTTTGCTGGAAACTTTTCTTTATAACTTGATTATTTTATTATTGAGTTTTTTTTTAAAAAAAAACATGCTTCTGTGCTTTTAGTCATTTTTTCGTATTTTTTACTTTTGAAAAAATTAAGTTTTTTATTCGTTTTATACATCCCTAAAAAATTATATAATTTATCTTCACTTTTAATTTTTTTATAATCTCAAATGGCAAACCGAATATATTAACAATTTAATAGGGTATATATCATATGCGTAAATTCCCCGCCATAATAATTTTCATTCTTAAATTATATTATTCTACATGCATCTTGTGATTTTATATTAGATCTTAGCTTTTTTAAATATTTTTTTAAGAAACAATATTATCTAACTCTTTCTTATTTACATTATCATATTATATTATATTATATTATACATAGGCACACTTCGTTTAGCAGAGCTCGCGTCCCCATTAAAGCCCCCCCCCCCCCCAAAAAAAAAAAATAGAAGAAAAAATAACTAATAATTATTATATTATTTAAAAAAATTGATGAATTATTATATCTCATCCGAAAATGAAATTAAGAGAAGAAAAAAAACTAATAATTATTTATAAAATTACTATATAACGTATGGAACTATTTCGTTCCATCTAAGATACATCCATCATTTCGGGTCAGATAGACAAATTTATTATGAAGTTTTAGATCATACAATTGCAAGTACAAGTATAAAATAAATCGTATCAACAAATCAGATCTATGGAGTAATTTGCAATCCAGAAACTTGATAGAAATCATGTTTCAGTATTCTATATGGAGATAATTTTGAGCTCGTCTAATTCTTCATAGAGATATGTTTTTAAACTACTCAAATTTGGAAAAATATATAAATTCAAACACTTTAGAGAACGTCATATAACTATATTAAAAAAAATAAGTAAGAGAAAAATTATTTCAATTTTTTTCAGAGTATGTTAACTTTATTAAAATGCTATTAACAATTCCCGTAAATGCTTGTTCTGCAGAACGATCGTTTTCAGGACTAACATGTCATAAATCTTATTTACGTCCTACAATGGAACAGGAACGACGACTAAATCATATCGGAATTTTAAATGTCAATAGAAGGAGCAAAAGAACTTGATTTAAATGTGATAGATAATAAATATTTATATAAATAAGAAGAAACACATTTTAACTCAAAAAAATATTAGTTTATTCTTATATTATATCATTTACAAAATAAAAATATATTAAATATTATTTATATTTAAATTAGAGATCTGCATTGGGCCTAATTTTTCAAGCCCAACTTGACCAAAAGTTTTTTAAAAAAAAATTTATACTGCCCCACCCGATCCCAAGCAAAAATTTTTTTTAATTTATCCCGAAAAGCTCGACCCAAAAATCAAAATAAAAATTATCTGCCCGCAAGGCCCAGCCCGAATTCATTTAAATATAGAAAAATTAAATATTTTTTCTTATTGTAATATTCTACAAATAAAAAATATTATCGCGTTGTTTCTTGCAACAATTTTAAATTATATAAATTTATTTGACAAAATTTTGTGATATCATATTTAAAAATTTAAACCCGACCCAATCCGGCTTTTTTTTTTAGAAATTTTACGGTTTGACCCATTCTCGAAACGAAATTATTTTTTAAAAAATAGATCCGGGTACGGGCCGGGCAGTGATTTGCAGATCTCTAATTCATATTATCAAAAACATTTAAGGGAAAATAAAATATATTTTTGCTATTTTTTTTACAATTAAATAAGATTTGATTAGATTTTTTTCAAGTTTTGAACTTATCTACAGCCTCTCACCCCCCCCCCCCATAGAAATTTTATATATTGCCATTTCTGAATTTATATAATAGATTTCACACATTTACCTAACAAAGTACAAAATTTCTACATTCATATTGGATAGATAAAATTAAACAAAATTAAAAATATCCGAAAATATTTATATTGAAGCAAATAATTCAACGGCTTATATTTAAAAATTCTAATTGAAAATTCTAAAATTAATTATTGACAGCGATAATAATTGAAAAATGAATTTAATTTGGTTTCAAATAATATTTTTAACTTCTCTTTTTGTTTACCAGAATATTCGTATCCCACGCTCTGCGTCAGGAATTCAGTCCAAGAAATCTGTCCACTTATGGCTTCCCTCATATTCAAAGCTTGCTTATACGTAATTTTCATTGCTTCTGGTTCCTTACTACTATCGTTACCCAGCTTCCCATTCCTATCTATAAGCTCGTTCAATATTCCCGTCGATGCATAGTAGCAATATCTATCCATGACTTCTGGGTGGCTATTAGTTTCGTGGAGTATGGCTACGCGATTCCAGTCAAACTGAATAAGGATTTTGACGATAACCTTAGCCATTGAGTTGAAAGATGGACCCACTCGGGTCAACAGTGGAAATTCTGAATCGGGAAGGGTTTTATTTTTGCCAAAATCATGGGTTAACGTTCCCGCGCTGATCATCGGTATATTAAACAACCTTCCAGTTAATCGGGCGAATTTTGAAGCAGCCAAATCGCAAACCGGACCAAACAATACTACTATGTTTTCGTTAAAAGCTAGTCTAATAGCTTCTGTAAAGCCATACACAAAGGAGCATTGAGAATCCCCTTGTTTAACTACTACTCTAAGAACGTTCTCTCCCTCTTGTTCTTTATCTTCTTGGATTATTTTAAGATGGCTGGATAAAGAAGATTGGTTAGTAGCGGATAAAAATGATGTGCTCGCTTTAGGTATGCCATTTCCTTCCCTTTTAGGTAAAATATTTAACTTATTGTATTTTGGAAGTATAAGTAATGATTGAATTTGCTGTCTCTTAAGCGCTACTTGAATGGCGGGAGCAATTCTCGAAAGCGATGATAAACTATTGCTATTGTTGTTCAAAAGAAGACCCCAGTGAACTATCGTAATATGCTTGGTAATGTCACTCATGGCCATTTTCGTATTAACATCTTTTATTAGCATCGTTGATTTTGATGTGATCTCTGATTTTTTTTTACTAATCCCAATATTCGTACAGTTTTGACAGATAATCGAATACGATTCATTAACTGAATTAGGGTTGATGGCAAAATCAATATTTGAACGCAAATTTTTTATAAACATTTCAAAAGTTTTATTACCATGAGTGGTATAGAGTGCTTTAAAAACGGTCGCTGGTGTAATCATCGTGGTAACATTTGTGGCAAACTTAGAAAATAATTTATTTAACACTACGAGATTGTTGGTGATATTCGTAAAAATAGTTTGATTTTCTAGTAACACATTAAATAAGACCGATAAAGTATTATATGAAGGATAATTAAAGGAACTCGTACTAGGAAGGAAATTATCACGATTAGTTGCAGCTATAATTAGGGAAGGGAAATTTGAAAAATAACTAGTTAAATTATAATCGAGAGGACCCATAATATAAGAATTATTATTTAACTGAGTAGATTTGGTACTCATTCTCAAACTCGTTACAGCGTTCTCAAATTTTTTATTCATCATACCTGCCTTTGTTTGTCCACAATTTTCTGGAGATGTTTTTATAATAGTTGATAACTTGAATAAATTCTTTGCTACATTTGGAATAATAGTAGATTGCAACAGAATACTTTTCTTCTTTTCATTTACTTCAACTGGATATGTTATGGACGATGCATCATTACCTTCAAGTATATTATTATGTTTGTTAGAACTGTTATGAGAGTAAATAGCTAATCCATGAGTTCGATTTTCGTCCAATAATTTATTATTAAAGCCAGTGAGAGAATCGCCAAACGAACGGGTAGTTAAATTATTTGATAGATTTGAAGCATTTAAATGATGCGAATTTGAGTTCAACATGTAAGACATTTTAGGGCCTAAGATGTCTTCTTGTTCTTTCACTAGAAAAGCTTCGTAATCAGCTTCTAAATACTTTTCATTCAAGCTAGTATTGTATACATTCGATTTATTATCTGAGGTTACCTTTATTTCAACATTATTTTGTTGACGATTTAAATTAGCATATTTATAATATTTTCTCCGACCTTTTTTGGCTCTTTTCATATAGTTTTTGTATTGCCTTTGGAACTCCAACGCTTCCTCCAACATATCTTGAGTCATGCTCATTGATTTATTAGAGGTAGCATCAACGTTTCGGTGCCACCAGGCATTGTTAGGCCCCCCAAGATCATCGTCATATGGAATAATATTATTTTCAGCATCGTCTCTTGCGCCATCAATCTCATTTAAGTCTTTAAACCCTATTAAGCATAGGAAAAGTACAGATTTGTACTTCCACATAAAAAAAAAATTATTATTTTATAAATAGCAACCGAGTATACTGATAGATCTATCATAGATGAATTATTTTTTTAAAAAATATATTATGTAAATATAAATACCAACAAATCATTAGAAATAAAAAACAAATATTTTTTTAAAATAAAAAAAACTTTCTCAAAAAATAAATATTTTAAAAATTATAAATACAAAAAAAAAATTAGCAAAATAAAATTATTATGACAAAAAAAAAATAATAAAAAAAAAAATTTTTTTTTAGTCACTCATAATCCTAAAATTTGTAATTTTTTTTTCACATGAAAAAACTTGACTTTTTAGCGCCTCTCAAAGATTTTTTTATTTTTATTATTATCATTTTTTGTCTACTTTTTTTCGAGGAATTTGAACATTTAATTAAATTATCAAAATTGGATATTAAAGACTATTTTTTTTATGATGAACTTCACTTTAATATTTTTAATTTTCAATAATAAACACTTCTAACCCCTGCCCCTTCCAAGTTTATTAAAATTATAATTAAATGAATGTTGGGGTAAGTAAGAAAGTAAACTTGTTTTTTTTTTCAAATTCAATGGAGTTTAAAGGTAGTAGATAACTCTTACATTTAAAAAAAAGGGGAAAATTTATGCCTCGTGGATATTTTTATAATATATAAATATAAAAAAGGCAGAAAAAAAATGTCTCTTTTTTATCATCAAATTTTAAATGATTTTTTTTCTCAAATTTTATAATTAAGAGTCATCTTTATAATTATTATAATCTTATATAAAACTTGTCCTAATTTGCTCTATGGTTATTTTCAAAATTTGAACACATTTTTTTTATTTCTCGTCGATTAATCTTATCTTCCGTACGGTCGAACATGAACAAATTTATATATTTTTTCTCTAATCGATATCATTACCATATTGTTGGTAAAGTAACCAGTTACCGGCAAATGTTACATTTTTGGCATGTAACAACATGTAGCTAGATAATTTTAAAAACGAATAGATATCATTAAAATTCCCGTTTAATAAAATATAATGCCACTCTTATTTGTTTGTCTATTCTAGGGAATGGAGAAAAAAAATACTTCATTTGGACAACAACTTTGAAAATAAATAAAAGTTATAATATAAATAAAAGAGCCCAAATTTTTATGTATATTTTTTTCCGATGCAAATGCAAAAAAATATTTTAATAATTTGATTATTTTCCCCGAAATAACTTTCTTTATTTAAATTTTATTTCATTTATATTCCTTTGGTTTAAATTTGTATTCGCTAAATTCTGCTTTGTGTAATTAAAGTGTAATTAGAAGTGATGATTTGTATAGATAATTTATAGAATAACTTAAATTTGTATCTAGTTATTTAAATTATATTTTAAAAAAATGTAACTAAAAATTATCTAGTTCCTTTTTTAAGGATATAATTTGTAACTGTAGTATTAACTTTTCAAAAGTATTCTAATAACACGATTACCATCACTATCTAATAGTGAATATTAGTGGTCTGTATTGAACGGGTTTTTATCCCGTCAGTTCACGACTCCACTTCTGGCGGACGCGTCGGGTTTTCTAATATTTTCAACATAGGGCGGGACGGGCGAGTTGGGTGGGCTCTGGCGGGTAAATTTTTCATATTTTTAAGGCGAAATTAACAGAACAGACTTCAATTTATTATAAATTAGTTTTTCATAATATTGCATATTATATATGTTTAATTAAAAATACATTAAAATAAATAAAAAAGAGCAAACCTGACATTATGATAATTTTTAAGCATTAGATGAGCGGGAAAGTTAAACAAATTTTTAAATAAATGGGCGGTCGGGAGGGCAAATTTTTTTAGAAAATTATAAGTCTAGTATATATACTTATATACTTGTTGGTCAAAGAGGGTGCCCAATTTAAACAAGTTTTACATCTTAAGTATCATTTTATCTTACTTTTTTGTATCATCATAAATGGTGGTATGTATTTTTGAGAATGGTTAAAAAAGAGATTATTTGGAAAAAAAAATAATTCATTTAAATTTTGTATAGAAATTTAATAAAAAACAGAATGATAATATGTCCGAAGGTTATCCAAGAAAGGAAAATATTTTATTTAATTAGAAAAAAATTTAAATTTTTATAATAAATCATTTAAATAAATTTATATTTAGATTTAAATTTATTTTCAAAAATAGATTTTCCTCATAAATTAATTAAAATGTGAAGAAAAAAAAAAGTATAATGACCAATATATTCTAATATTATATATTATTTACAAGGAATTCTACACTTTCCCCACCCCCCAGGATGACGATCCCCCTCTATACCTCCCAATAAATCCACCCTTCATACCTCCCGACCCCCCCCTCTGAAGCCCCTTCTACCAAATCAAAATTATTTTAAAAAAGGATACCTAAAAAGTAGCAAATAGGGAAACCAAATCAAAACTACCCTTGTACAAACCTCCAATATTATTCAAATGAAATAACGTCATCATAAATACCTACCCCCCTTCTAATTTCAATATACTTCTTCCTCGTAGTAGAAACACATGCTTCTGGGACCCGAATAAATCGAACATTGACGTAATTTTATTTTATTTTCAGAAATTTATTAGGGCGGTTTATAATTTATTCACCAAACTGGTGCAAAATTTTATAGGTCCATCCCCCATCCGATCCGAGGCTTACCCCGGACTAAAACTTAATATATTCATTTCATTTTCATATAATGCATTAAATTTTAAAATCTTCAGCAATAACTAATTCCATTCATTTGACGCTGTTCATTTGTTTTTTCTATTTATTAGTTATATTAAAATGAATGTGCAATATTGCCCCATGCCTATTTTTCCCAATCTCATTTTAAATTCCTTTTCTATTTGGAATAAATATATTTGTTACATTTTTTAGACCTAATATTTGAGAATTATGCCAAACCCCATTAGGAGGCTTAGTAACTTTTAACTTTTAATTGTATATTTAGTAATTTTGTTATAAAATCCAGTAAATCAATTTCCGAGAAAGTCAGGGATTTCCATATAGTTACGACAAAATTTAAAAGGGTTATCTTTGAGAGAAAATATTGGTATATCATAATAAAAAAAAACATCATGCTAAAAATGAGGAAAGAGAAATCCAAGGCTGAATTATAAATCAAAACTTCCTCAATTTTATAATAATTATTGAAAGAATGAAAGATTATATGGTACCACTTCTATATTTTCCCTATACTATTTCGTTTCTCATTCCTATTCCTTTCCTCTTTTCCCTCCTTTACTTTTTCTTGTCTTTCCAGTTGAAGTTAAAAGCCGGAAAAACTTCAACTTTTTAGAGTAGAAATTTGTTTGATAACTTTGTGCTAATACTACTACACAAATTGAATGATAAATCCTTATTCAACTCTCGTTCAAATCTGAATTTTTTCAATTAATCTATTTAAACAGGGTAGGTTGGGGGAGGTGGTTGCATATATTTTTTATTACTTATTCATCTAAAAATAAGTAAGGATTCTATTGGGATTGGCATATAGTGTATCGCGAGGGAATCTAAGGGGAAGCCCCCTTATAATTTTTTGACTTATAGCTTCCTTCCAAATTTCAAAGAAAAGCTGAGCCCACACACACCCCCCCCCCCACCAAATATTTTTTCAAAAATGTTAAATTTGAATGTCCTTTTCTTATTATTGTTATAAAAATTAAATTTATATAGTCAATGGTCTTTTTCATTTTTTTAAAGCCATAAAGAAGATAGAAAAGCAAAAAGTTTTATTTTAAACATTTTTATCATTATTTCTATTAGTGTTGTTAAACGGCTCGTTTTGAGCCGATTTTTAAAAACGGCTAACTCAATATTTTAACCAAAAAATGTATTGCCTATAAGGCTCGAGATTTTGTTAATAGATCTCTAGATCTTTATATCATATATGATCAAAATCTTCAAGCTTGAGTAATATTTTTCTGAATAAAATATTAGTTAGCCGTTTAACAACACTTTTTTATGTCGTCGCTGCTTCTGTTTTATTTAAAATATAGAGTGAGGTTCACCACCAACAAATAGGTTCAATGCTCTATTTTTTACAGGTTTTAAGCCAACTCTAAAAGGGTTAAACCAAATTTCTATGAGAAAACTATCATCTTAGCCTCGATCGCGGTTTAAACTTAAAGGATAGCTCAATCTTGAAAAATATTTACTCCTGACTCAAGACTAGGAGAATTTTTTCGTCTGTTAGGATTGAGTTGACAACAAATAGTTCAGTTTTAACAAAATCTTTTAAATTGTTTTAATAGGAATTTAAAATTTTCAAATGGGATATTTTTTTATCAGTTCGGTTTCCTTTTACTAATTAGCCATTTTATTATTTGATTGATATTTAAAAAAAATCATTAGGAATATGTTGACAAAAATAAAATATTAAGTGGGCAAGCGTCTACATGACAAAAATTTTTTGGAAGCAAACTCCTTCCAAAATCTACCACACCCCCCCCCCTTACCCCCAAAAATCTTTCACGGACATCGGTCGCGATATCTATCCAACAATACTGCTTCAGGCCTCTTGATTATTTAGACCTGGAACAACAAATAGTAATAATAATAATAATTAGTTGGTGAAAATTGACTAATTATTACTAAGCATATTCTAAAAATTAGCCACGAGCGCGTATAACCTCAAATTTTACTAATATGTTATTTATAGGAATGAATGAAAAATAAATATATACTAAAATATTTTAATTTTTTTTTATCAGTTATTTTTCTCTTTAATACAAATAGTGTTTAATTTTATTTTATTCTACCCCCATTCAAAAAATTTGGTAAATCGGTCCCCTCTCTGACGCTGTATGTGGGTAAATATTTTCAGATGTCGCTCGATTCAGAAATTCCACCTTTATTTAAAGAATATACCATTAGAAAATCCATAATTAGTAAGATTAAAAATAAATTTATAATTTCTTTTGAATGCAGAAAATTAATTCATCTTATCTTTATAATATATTCCAATTTGTATCAGATATCGGTTTGTAATAAATTTGTTACATTGTTTTTAAAATATGAAATAAATAAAGTACACCCA